CTTACGGCGACGCCCGCAGTGCTCTCGGCACAGGGACTCGTTGCTGAGCTCCTCACTCGCCGGACGCGTCGGAGCGGGTCTCGGTGGCAGCGCCACGGACGCCGGGAACAAGTCAGCAGCCTTGCCGCGCGCAGGGCTCCGTGGGCGCCGCCATGTTGGCGGCCACGTGACCAGGCCGGGCGGAACTAGCGCTGCGGGGAGGGGTGTCTCCGGAGAGCGCGACGGCCTGGGACCGTCCTGGGAGCCAGAGACGCGACTTCCGGTCCTCCTACGAGAGAAGACTCTGCCCCTCCGTGCCGAAAAGAAGATGGTTCCTTCCGATTCAAGGGTCAACAGCGACCAATCCCGATAGAGCATGCGCAGACCAGGGGCGGGACACGTGACCCAAACAATGGAGGGAGAAAGGAGTGGGAGGTGGGATAGGGGTAAGGTGTGGCTCGGCTGCGGGGGCGCCTGCAGCCAATCTGAGGCCGTGCGTCCGATCTTACGGGCCCACAGGATAGGTGGAGCGAACCTTCACTCTCTGCAGTGACTTGCACATAAAATCGCTGTTTAAAATTTTTGAGTACTAGGCCTGCGTGCGCCTGTAATCCCAGCACTTCCCGGAGGCATAGGCAGGCAGATCTCTGTGAATTCTCCTAGTTGCCCAGAAGAGTCCAGGGCGGCCAAGGCTACACAGAGAAACCCTGTCTGAACAAAACAAAAAGAAACAAAAATTAAATGTATGTGTGTGGAATTGTCGTAAGTTCATCTTTTTAAAGATTTCTTTTATGTGCATTTCTGTTTTGCCTTAGTGTGTCTGTATGAGAGTGCCAGATCCCCTGGAACAGGAATTACACACTTGTAACCCGCCCTGTGGGTGCTGGGAACCCATGAGCCCTCTCTCCAGCACCATGAAATATATTATGTAATTATGAAATTGTAATCTACTGTAATGACAATATTTTAAAATATAAAAATGAAGTGAAGGCAAGAGTAAAATACACTATCAAAATGCTACCAGGAAGCCCATTCTTATATGGGTTTCGAGATACAGAAATATGGAAATGTGAGTATGCATAGGAAAATACACAATGTATACTTAAGAAAATGCTAAAAAGTTCAAAGTATAATGAAAATTAAACTGGGAATGAATGAATTTTAAACATTTTACAGCAGGCACTGTGCCACGCATCTTTCATCCAAGGATTTAGGAGGCAGAGGCAGGAGGATCTCTGTGAGCTCAAGGCCAGTCTGGTCTACATAGTGAGTTCCAGGACAGCCAGGGCTACACAGAGAAACCCTGTCCCAAAAACAAAACAGAAATCAGGCCATAAAGGTTTTACACGTAATCTCTCCTGTCAAAGAGAACAAAAACAGAACATAGCCCTGATGGGGCCACCTTTGTAGTCAGTCTTCCAAGTGTCCTGAGTGGGAAACAGAAGGGCGCCAGCACTCCTGAGCCCAGTTGCATCTTGATCTCTTTGATTTCCTCTTTAGATGTCTGAGACCAGCTTCTTGCTCTGCAGCCCAGGGCCGACCTCTGACTGGAGACACAGCCTCCTGAGTGCTGGGCCAACATACGGGGAACCCTCTGCCTACACCTACTTCCTGAGGGCGCTGAAAGTTGGCTTCCCTACATGAGGTGGTGTGTGTGGAGGGAGACACAGGAGGACGCCGGGACACACTGGCCACCTAGCCTGGTCTAATGTGAGAGATCCTGCCTGAAAACCCAAGATGGAGAGTAATGGAGGAAGATGTCTGGTCCCCATGTGCACATACACAGAAAAAACAAATAACAAACATTGCTGCATATAACACACCTTACTGTCACCCTTGGCCAGCTCCAACACGTGTTTACATGAAGCTTCTGGAAAGGGTGTGGGGGCCCTGATGGGTCACAGGGTGTGGTGATGCCAGGTGTAATCTGGCCCCCATAACAGCTGAGGGGAAGTGATGGGCCCAGAGGTGCAGGAAGCAGATTCGGCTTCAGAGCTTGGCATGCTGCCCAGGCTGCCCTGGGAGGAACTGATACCAGGAAAGGCTGCACAGGGCCCATCAGCCAGGACTTCCCTTCAGCAGCCTCTCCACCCTTGGTCCATGATGGCCAGAAGTCCAGCATCCGTGTGGCTCCACCTCCCTCTGGAAGGGTTCTGCTTCAGCAGCTTTGTTGGTTAGCTAGCAGCCATTGGAGCCTCCTTACTCCAGTCTCTATAAATAAAGAGTGGGCTTTGTTAGCCCGGTGACACACACCTTCAATCCCAGCACACGGGAGGCAGAGGCAGGTGGATCTCTGTGAGTTCAAGGCCAGCCTGGTCTACAGAGTGAGTTCCAGGACAGCCAGGGCCGCACAGAGAAACCCTGTCTAGAAAAACAAAACAAAAACAAACAAAAGAGTGGGGTTTGCTGTCGCTTAGAGTGAGCCCCATGGATTCTCCTGCCTCAGTGCATAAGCCCGGGACTGGCTGGTTTTCTCTGTTGTTCCCTTCTACTTTTTGGTTTACTTATGAGTGGAGCACAAACACCAAGGTGGCCTGTGCAGAAACCACCTCCTCCTCCTACCATGGGTGTCCTGAGAGAACTGAGCCAGGTTTATTGGCTCGATGGTGAGCGTCTTTGCCTGCTCAGTCACCTGAACCCCGTGTCGTGTTTGCAGGACAAGCAGGGTACCCCTTTTTCATTTTATTAATTTCTAAAAATTGTATCTGTTTATGTTTTGACGGCAGAGCGGAGCAGCGCTGTGCCCCTCTGACCCCAGGGACTACATAGCCGGTGGCTGTGGATTGGCTGTAGCCCACCCTCTAGGGTTCCAGAAACCCCAGGGTGGGAGCAGAGACTTATGAGGTGCTCTGCAAGGTGCTGCATGCTTGTGTCTTCTGTGCAACCCAGCAGGCTGGTGGAGGCTTCTGTCACCATATCCACCTCTATCTTCTCTGGGGACTAGCTTTCCTGACCCTCCCACCGCCACCCCTAGGCTGGTATGCTAACTTAATCAAGCTTAATAATAAAAGTTAGCAAAGGTATAGGTTAGTAAACCTCACTACATCGTAAAATAACTTTCCAGGTTTTCTTCTCTCTCTTGTTTTAAAGGGTTCTTTATGAGTTTACGTGGAATGTGTGTGTGCAGTATCCACAGGTCCAAAAAGGGGCGTCAGGTCCCATGGCTGGCGTTATGGTTTTGAGGCGCCAAATATGGGTCCTGGGAGTCACACCCAGATCCTTTGCAAGAACTAGTGCTATAACCACCCGGCCATTAAGGCCATGCATGAATCCAGCCTCTGCTTGAACTCCTGATGCTCCTGCCTCCAGCCCCCCAGTGCTGGGATGACAGGCATGCATTTTAATTTCCTTTTTGGTGGCTGCCGGTCTCCCTGAACTCCCTCAGTTCTCATCTGAACCTTCCAGCCCCAGGGACCCACATTTCCTATCAGAGTACACCTCATGTTGCACTTTGTCTGGCCCTCTCACCGAGCACAGTGTCTTCTGGGGTGTGCTTGATAACCCGTCACAGTCCTGGCCTTTTTCATGGCGGTGTGATGCTCCACTATGGGAATGGCCTCTTCCAGAGTGCAGACACTGGGTTGCGAATGTAGGGAGCATCGGTGTTGGTGTAGAGTAGGAGGTTCTGGATGGGCGCTGCACTTCTGGCAGCCTGGTCTTGCCTCTTGGCTGTCCTGTGTTTGTTGCTCAGCAGCTGCCCCAGGCCCTCTACTGCGTTAGCTGTGGATTTCGCAACCTGGCCCAACTTCCCCCAAAGCCTTGCCGGATATTTTGTTCTGTTTTGGCAGAGTACTCAGGCACCACAATCTGAAACTGTGGTTTCAATGTGTGCTGAGCACCCGAGGGCCTTTGTACAACCCTTTCCCTCCTTGCTCGCTAAGCTCAGCCCTGAAGCTCACCCTTTGCCCTATACATATTTTTAAATGTTTAATAATTTCTATTTGTGCCTGGTAGTGGCGGCACACACCTTTAATCCTAGCACTTGAAGGCAGAGGCAAGTGGATCTCTGTGGGTTCAAGGCCAGCCTGGTTGTTCTACAGAGTGGGGGCTAATAGGGAGAAACCCTGACTAGAAAAAACAAAACTAAAATAAAATTCAATTTGTTTAGTGTGTGTCGTTAACTAGGGGAGTCACAGGTGCGTGCGTGTGGGATGGTCAGAACGCTGCCTTCCACCAAGTGGGCTCCGGGTATTGAACTCAGTTCCCTTTGACCTGACTGTGGTCTCTCTACCTTTTAAGCCATCTCGTTGGCCTCAACGTCTATTTTCTGAAATGGAACTTTCTTGAGGTTTGTTTCCATCTGTGATCATTACGGCTTCTGCAGCACACAGCCGGGGCTACACAAAGAAACCCCATCTCCGAAAAAAGAGAGAGAGAGAGAGATCTCGAAAAATCAAAATAAACCAATGTTTGGTGGGTGGGTCGCCAAGGGCCGAGCGTTGGGCGCCATCCGTGGGGCGACTGCACCTGAGTGAGTCACAGCTTCGGTTGACGCGTCCCCACTTCTTCCCGGGACGTAAGCCACGCCCTCCGCAGCGCCGAGTCACTCGTGTCAGTTTCCCCCTTTCAGCCCCGATCTCCAATCTTCCTGGACTGCACTTCCGACCGCGGTTGCCCCGGGCAACGCGTGCCGCCTTGCTTCCTGTATTGATTTGAATCCTGAAGGACGTCCCATACTCCCGAGCTGCTCTGCGCTCGAACGCGCAGGCGCAGTCTGACTGAGTGGGCGCGAGCACGACGCGGGGTGGGTGTGTCTGGGGAGTGGCCTTGAAGAAGAGGGAGGAGGCTAGTCAGGGGGCGTGGCCCAAGAGGGGCGTTGTTGGTTTAAAGGGGCGTGGCTTCGGATCCCGGCACCGGGGATTGGCGGCTGAGCCGTGCGTGAGGGCTGTGGGCGTGTCTGAGGGCGTGTCTTGCTTAGGGAAGACCCGGCGGCATTAGGAGGAGGATCAAGGGGGCGTGGCCCGACGCGCCTGCGTGTGGGGGCGTGGTCTAGGCGCGGGGATGCGCTCGGCGGCGGGGCCGGTCGCGGGCGCGCGCGCGGCCTGCGGGACAGACGGAGGGAGGGAGTAGGGTTGCCGCTGAGTGCCGCCATATTAGCGACCGCGGAGGCCGGGGGATTCCCGTGAGCGGCGGCGGCGGGGCCTGGAGCAGCGGCGGGGCATCGAACGGGCGCGGAGTGTTCCTGGGACCGGCGGGAACCGGCGGGAACCGGCTGGCGACGGGAGCGCGGCAGGTGAGGACACAGGTGACTCGGGGACCCGCCCCCCAGCGGACCCCTTCCTTCTCTGGGGCTCCAGCGCCGCCTGACCCTGAACCCCACATCCCAGCGGCCCCCAACTCGGGCCCCGACACCGTCAGTTCGCCGAATCTGTCAAAGCCGGGCTCTGAGCCCTGCTCCCCCCAGACCCAGGGCACCACCCGTGCTGCTCCCCGAACCCCAGAATGCAAACCCTCCCGGATTCCAGAGCAGGCCCTGCATCACTCCAATCCTGAGACTTCTGCACAAGGCGACCTCGCCTTGACCTCGCCCTGTCCATCACAGCGCTCCATCCTAGAGCTCTTTTCTAAGCCCGACAATGTCCAAATGCAGGGCGTTCCACATGTTGCTACTCTGGACCCTAGGTCAGGCCCTGGGTCACCTCAGCCCACCCTCAAGTCTGGGTTACCCCTTACTACTCCCACCAAAGCCACACATCCAGAGGAGGCCGCGCATCCCAGAGTCATCTGTCCCCAGTGACCTCGCCCTGTCCATCGCAGCTCTGTCCTTTCCAGCTACATACCCCCAAACTGAAGGCATTCTCACTCATGCTGCTCACTCAGAACTCTACAACTGCACCTCCCTGACTTCCAAACGCAAATCCCCCTGCCTCAGATGCTCCCAGCATCCAAACTGGACTCGCAGATCTGGCCTGGTTGGGGGTCCTCCAGTAGATGGGATTGTGGATAGAGTTACCGTGTAACACTCAGTGGTTCAGCCAGGATCTTGGTGTCTCGGCTCAGTGGGGACATGGCCAGCAACCTCCAAGTCTTTTGTCCCCAAACCCACCTCATGCTCTCTCAGATCTGAACCTCTACTCTGTGTCTCCAAATGCAAGTCCAGGCACCCCCTGCCCTCTTTCCCTGACTCCAAGCCATTGTTCCCTCAGAGCCCTCAGATGGCCCTGCGCACCCCTCCTGGCCCCCCTAAAAGCCTGACACCATCCCCTGTGGAGGTATCACCTTCCTTCTATGCTTGCCCCAAATTCACTCCCTAGTTCAGGGTACCTGGTGGGAAGCAGGTCCCCCACCCACCCTGTGTGAGAGATGACCTCATTCCTCTGGCTGCTGAGCCCCAATCCCATCTCCTTCCTGTAGTTTGAATGACCGGCAGCCCCCAGTGAAGATTCAGCCAGAACTGACGATGCAGCTGGCTCTGGGGATCTGTGCTTTGGGAGAAAGGGAGTTTGGTGGCTCCGGGTCTCATGGGGCTGGGTTGGCAGGTGTTGCAAATATTAATGGAGTTCTTCAGTGTGTATTTGGTACTTGAGGAATTTAGCCCATGACTAGTGGGTGACTGGCTTGTTCAAGGGTCTTTTTACCAGTACCAGCCTTGCTTCTAACAGAGGGTCAGGAGCCAAATGTGCACTGAGGAGTGGCAGTCCTGGTGTGTTTCATTTCCAGAGCCTTTGCATAGGCTAGTCAAGAGCCACACCCCAGCACCTCACTGGGAGATTCTAGGCAGGGACTCTACCCCTTACCACACCCCTTTTATTTTTATTTTTAAAGATGTGTATGTGCGCCACAGGACAGTAATGTTGCACGTGGAGGCAGAGGCAGAGGCAGGAGGATCTCTTTTTGAGGCCAGCCAGGTTTACAAAGTGAGATCCAGGACAGCTAAGGCTACACAGAGAAATCCTGTCTCAAAAAACAACAATAACAAAAAAGAGGGGTGGGTATGTGTGGGGTTTTTGTTTGTGCCTGATGCTGGTAGAGACCAGTCGGACCTCCTGGAACTGAAACAGAGAGTTGTGAGCTGCCCTGTGGTTGCTGGGAATTGAACCTGGGTCCTCTGGAAGAGCAGCCAGTGCTCTTAAGCACTGAGCTATCTTTCCATACATATTTTTATTTTATGTATGTATGTGTGTCTGCTTCTATGTGTGCCACGGGCAGGCAGAGCCCAAGTGGGTGTTACGTCTTACACCTGGAGTTACAGGTGGTTCTGAGTCTCCTAGTCTGGACACTGGGAACCAAACCTGGGTTCCTTGCATGAGCTGTTTACTACTGAGCCAACTCTTTGCCTCATTTATTTCCTTAAACGTTTTTGGTGGTTGGTTGGTTGGTTGGCTGGTTGGTTTGGTGTGTGTGCTGGTGTATGTGCATAGGTGAGGATATCATGCGCCCCTCTCCGTCACTCTCCACTTGAGACAGGGTCTCACGTAGCTTGGAGTTAGGCTGACAGCCGTCCTGCCTGCCTTGGTCAGCCCCAGCACCGGAGTGAAGTTTGGGGGATTTGAACCCTGATCCTTATGACAGCCAATCAACAGCCCTTCCTTTTATCTTGAGACAGGATCTCCGTAGGTTGTCCAGGCTGGAGCTGGCGCTCCTCCTGTCCCCGTCCAGTAGCCATGATGGCAGGAAGATGTTCCAAAAGCGCCCCGTGGGTGTGGGGCCTGGTAGGATGGGAATCCTGGTGTTGGGCTGGAAGACACAGCCATTGGGAGCCTGAGGCTAGTGGGTCGTGAGTTCGAGGTCATCCTGGGCTGTAGCAGCAAGAACTGTGTGAAAGGGAGGGAGGCTGGTCATTCATCCAGGGGGCCATGTGGACATCCAGACATACCTCCTCCCACACCCCCAGGTTCCTCTGAGGCTGGGTCTGACCCTGGGCTCTGGATTGTGGAGACTTCAGCCCTGGGGAGGAGGCAGGATCTGAGGTGTTCTGAAGGCTGCTTGTGTAGACCTGGGCTTGGAATTTGAGAAATTGGCAAATCCCAGAAGTGCCCTGTCTCCTTGGACCCAGAGTGCTGAGTGGTGTGTGTGTGTGTGTGTGTGTGTGTGTGTGTGTGTGTGTGTGTGTGTGGGGGGGGGGGGGGGGGGGGGGGGGGGGGGGGGGGGGGGGGGGGGGGGCGTTCAGGACTGTGCTGCCCTACACTGCCCAGCACAGCAGGTGGGGGAGCTGCCCAGCAGGCCCTGGTGTGTTTGTGGAGTCCAGAGCCTCTGCTGCTCCCTTGTGGCGGGTCCCTGCCTCACAACCGCAGGACAGCCTCCCCTGCCTCAGCCTCCTCCTTGGCCCTTGGCCTTGCTTCCTTGGTTCAGCTAGTAGGTACAGACTGGCTCCAAACCCCCAGCGTTGTAGTTGGGGGAGAGGGTTGTTTGTTTTTTCTTTTTCGAGACAGGGTTTCTCTGTGTAGCCCTGGTTACTCTAGAACTTGCTCTGTTGTCCAGGCTGGCTTTGAACTCACCAGATCCCTCTGCCTTGGCCTCCTGAGCGCTGGGATTCAAGGTGTGCACCACCACTGCCCAGCTTGTAGTTGCTTATTTTTTAAGATTTACTTTTTATTTCTAATGTGTGTCTGCATGCGGTTGTGCGTGTGTGTGTGTGTGTGTGTGTGTGTGTAGGTCAGAGAGGACTTGGGATGCCCTGGAGCTGGACTTGAGACGGTTCTGAGCCAAACTCCTCCACCACAGTGGCGAGTGCTGACTCAGGCGCCTCTGCACCCCACTTGTCGGTGAGCGTGTGTGCGCATGCGTGTCGGAGGGAGCCTTGCAAGGGCGAGTTCTCTCCATCTACCTGTGGGTCCCAGCTCATGTCTGCAGGTTTGGCAGCGGTGGCTCACCCACTGAGCCCTCTTGCCAGCCCAGTTTTCTGTTTGTAGTTTTTTAACCACAGTTTCACGCTAGCTCAGGAAGCCTCAAACATTCAGCAATCCTCCTGCCTCAGCTTCCCAAGTGCCAGGTGGCAGGGGTCCCTGACCCTACAAAAGCTTCAGGCTGTCCCTGTCCCCCTCAGGGACCCCCTCCAGCTTCACAAACTTTTCTTCAGCAAAGCTGATTTTTATTTTATTTTATATTTTTAGGTTTTTATCTGCTTTAACAGTCTCACATCCCACATTTTATTAAAACCAACAGCTCTGGTTTTTATCTGTTCACAGGGTAGTGCAGCCATCACCTGTATCTAGTTCTAGAACAGTCTACCAACCTAAAGGCAACCACATACCCGGCAGATATCACCCAAGCCTTTGGCACCTAGGAGCCTACTTCAGTCCCGGTGTTCCCCTGCTCTGGAAGCTTCTTGCCCTAGCATCTCTGGTCCATATCAATGGCGATGAATGCAGCCTTTGATCATCTGCTCTGCCCTAAGCTGTAGCTGAATCCCTTTCCCGTCTTAGTCCTGCCAGGCAGAATGCACTGCCCATGGGGGACAGAGCCCCTGGCTTGCTGTTCGGACCCAGGACTCAGTGTGCGAATCTTTCTTACTCAGGCAGACACACACCTGAATGAGTGCCCGGGCACATGGAGCCTGCCACGGTGCTTGTTTCTCAGTAGGCCAGGCAGGGTGCCGGAGCCCAATGGACCAGCTTTGAAGGACCGTGATGCCCCCTAGAACCTGCCTGGCTGCCATGGGGCAGCTGAGAGTGGGGCACCATTGAATGAAGGAATGAATGGGTGTGCACATGCATACTGGGCCCCAGGCTGGGTGAGGTCACGTGGTCGGACCCCAGACACTGGGCAGCTACAATATCCCTGGGGTCTCTGACTGATGGGAGCTGTCAAGACCTCTCTCTGCTGGTCTCCCCCGGCCGCGCTGGGGGCCTGTCACATGCCTGCTTCTGCGTCTGTCACACTGGCCAGCACTGACTAGCTGGCGTTTTGTATGAGTCTGTTCCAGCTGACTAACACCATCCCCGCTATGCAGGTGGGTGTCCCCAGCCGCACCCCCACACACAGAGGAAGAAAGAGGCCCAGGTACCCTAGCACCTGCTGGAAGGTTCCAGGGCGGAGGAGCTCTTGGAGGCTCTGGCCAGTGTCTGCACAGGGAGCAGACAAGTGAGGACCTTGGTATAGATAGGTGCCTTACAGGAAATTTGGGGGTACAGGTGAGAGCAGAGCGGAGACTCCATCCCTGGGGTGTAGGGAGCTGTGCTACGCCCTCACGTGTTAGCCTGTGCTGGCGGGAAGTCCCTGCCTTTGACCCCTAAGGGCATTTGAGGACTACAGGCCCTCGTCAGCAGTAAGTTCTGTAGGATATCTGATCTAAGGCCACATAGGCCCGTGTCCAGGCATCCCCAGACGGGCTCTGTTATACAGGAGCTGACCCCCGCAGCTCTGTCCTAGGGCCACCCACGTGGCTCAGCTCTTCAGGTGCCCCATGTGTGTCTCCAGTGCACATGACACAGTCCCAACCACATCCCCAGCTCTGTTGCCAGCTTGTGACAGAGGGGAGGACAGCGTGGGTGGGGCCAATGGCAGGGCCTCTGCAGCTGGCCGCCAGCTCCACGTGTCTGCTGCACGCTGGGGTACCTTGAGCAGTCTGTTGCTCCGACTGGGGGTGTGCCTGAAGCTGGAGACAGGAGTGTCTGTCAGGACCCTGGGAGCTCCTGACGTGGAGTCGGTAGAGGCCAGGAGTGTGGCCCAGCGCGCTGCAGGGCCCAGCAGGCCCACAGAATGTGATGAGGCCCCATGGGCACAGTACAGCATGGCAAGTCCCCATGCTTGGCTACAGGTGGGGGCTCTCCTTGGGTTTCTTGACACACAAGCTGTGGGGACCAGTTTTTCCAGATCTGTGGCCTCTGGAGGGAGTGAGCAGTGGTTGAAGGCCAGATGAGCTGAGCTTCCGTCCTTGAGTGAGCTTCCTGGTGGCAGGAGCCCAAGACCCTTCCTGTGCCTAGTGCCCAGCAAGGGGACAAGTGTGCAGTGGAGGTGGGTGGCCAGTGCTGCTCTGGCCCCTGGTGGCATAGGCCGGGCCGGGCACAGGACTGGCATGGGCCCTGTCACACCTGTGGCTTCACTCCCTCCCGTGTGCTTGTGGCCCCAGTGGGCATCACACTGGGATGGCTTGGGCACTGCTGGGTGCTAGGCACTGTGCTGGGCCTCAGCGTCCTGGGATACAGCAGGGTGAGGGCGTCTGGGGGAGACTGAGGCACACGGAAGGTGCAGGACAGCTCCCAGAGCTCCTGAGGGCCCTGTCCCCCAGGTCGACCTCTCACCTACAGTGGAAAGGTGGCAGTCTGAACAGCTACGCAGCCTTTTGATGCCCTGGCTTCATGCCCTTAGGTGGAAGCAGCCTGCCTTCAGCCTGTGTGCCTGAGGGTGGACTTGAGCTCCTGATCCTGTAAGGATCCACTGAGGCAGGAGGATCGTGCGTTCTGGACTACCTGAAATACTCAGTGAGAGTGTGTCTCAGGGATGGTGGTGGGTAGACAGGTGGCACCTTGGTGGCAGTTCTCCTTCAGCCGGGTCTCTGGACATTTCCTGTTATGGAGCCCGCACTGTGGGCCTTTCCCTGTCCGCATCCCTCACTGACCACGATGTCCTCGAGGTCGCCTTAGGGCCCCCTCCTGATGGCTGAGTAGAGCATGTGGGCGGACTCAGCTGCATGTCCATCAGCTGGCGGTACCTCCACCCATGCCTGTCGTTCTCCCTCGGGTCTGCACCTGTGCAGGGTTTGGTGGGGCCGTCCATCTCAGGTGTACAGCTAGGAGTGCATGTCTTGGGTCACACGATTCTTTAACTGTTTAAGGGACTAGGGTCAGAGAGGGAGCTGGTGTTGAGAGGGACCAGCTTCCTTCCGTCTGCACTGCTCTGTCTCTTGCGTCTATCTGTTGCTTTTCTCTGTAGTCAGTGTGTTCAGCCTCTGGTGGAGAGGGACCTTGTGGGGTTCACGCACGCTCATGCTGTAGTGTTTGGTCAGGAGGGCGGGGGAGGTCGCACTGGGTATTGTCATCAAGGCCTGTGCCCAGGCTGGGAGGGTGTTTCCGCCATGGGGTATAAAAGCCATGGAGTATGTAGGCGAGGGCCTGGGGCCTGTGTTCTCAGACAGCAGTCCCACAGCCTGCAGTCTTGGACTGTCCCTGAGCAGAGCGGGCTGGGGGCTCTACCGTGGCCGACCATGCCCCTCCCCAATCAAGTGTAAGCTGTCGGCCTGGCCACCAAGGCTCAGAGGTCACATTGCTCCAGCTGCTGATAGAGGCTTATGTCCCCAGTTTCCCCATTGCTCCTGCTTGCCACTAGCTCTGTGTCCCTGCTAACACTGGACACTGCAGGGACTGAGGTCACCACGCATGGCCACCCTCAGATGCTAGCCTGGGCTTTGCTGAAATGTCGGGACTAGGATGGAGTCTGCTACCCACCCATATAACTCCTCTCCAGAGGCCCAGCAAGCTCCTCCTTCCCAGGCTAAGGTATGCTGACGGTGGCTTCTGGGATCTGCTCCCTGGACATGGTGGCACATTCCTGAGGCAGGACAGTCAGGATTTTAAGGTCTTCCCTGGCTATATAGAGGGTTTTGGAGGCCAGACTGGGCTACACGAGACCTTGTCTCAAAAATAAGATTTACAAGCTATGCAGTAGGGGCACACGCTTTTAATTCCAGCATCCGGGAGGCAGAGGCAGCTCTGGTCTACAGAGTTCCAGGAAAGCCAGGGCTACAAAAACATTTACCAAAATGCCCGGCCTGTCCTTCTCTGTTGCCGTGGCCTAGCCTGCCATGCAGGGTCCCCGTGCTTACCTTTGCCCACCCTGCAGGCTGCCCTCTGCTGCGGGCCCCGCCCCGCCCGCCATGGACCAGGACTATGAGCGCAGACTCCTGCGACAGATCATCATTCAGAATGAGAACACGGTGCCATGTGTAAGTGTCACGGGGCCGTCCCCATCGGGTTCCCCAGGGCACCCTCACCCGTAGACCTGGCACCGTCCACCCGGGGAACCGTGCATGGGCCGAGGGACCTGCGTGCTCCCTGGGGTCACCGCTGCTGAACCCCAAACCCGTCTCCTAGGTCTCAGAGATGCGGAGGACCCTGACACCAGCCAACTCCCCAGTGTCCTCGCCCAGCAAGCATGGTGACCGCTTCATCCCCTCCCGGGCCGGGGCCAACTGGAGCGTGAACTTCCACAGGATCAATGTGAGGGCGGGCAGGGTGCTGGGCCTGTCGCCCTGTGGTGGGCACAGCCCCCCCGTTGTGGTGTCTCCTCATGGGCTCCTCTCCCACAGGAAAATGAGAAGTCCCCCAGCCAGAACCGCAAAGCCAAGGATGCCACCTCCGACAATGGCAAAGGTGAGGGTCAGCCCCGCCCCTCGCCACTGGCCCCTCCCAGCTAGTCTGTCCTCACCGAAGCCCCGCCTCTGCAGGCCCCGCCCACCAGAGGCCCCGCCCTACAATGTTCTGCTCTGCTTGCCCTGCAGATGGCCTGGCCTACTCCGCGCTGCTGAAGAATGAGCTTCTCGGCGCAGGCATTGAGAAGGTGCAGGACCCGCAGACAGAGGATCGGCGGCTGCAGCCCTCCACGCCCGAGCACAAGGGCCTCTTTACGGTGAGCCAGGAGGCAGCTCCTGACTGCGAGGCTGCGGGTCTTGCAGGACCTGTTCCCTCCATTCTGTAGCCTCTGCCCAGTCCGTGTTGGCTTTGGGGTGGTCGGGGTCCCCAAGGCCACTGAAGCCACTCAACACGCACGGTCCTGCCCCAGTATTCCCTCAGCAGCAAGCGCTCAAGTCCTGATGACGGCAACGACGTGTCCCCATACTCCCTATCTCCTGTTAGCAACAAAAGGTGAGCTGGGGCTGGGTCCCGAGGGCCAGTGGGCTGGTGGTGGGGACGTGGGCATGTAGGGCAGCAGCGAGCGGCATCCTGCTGTCGCCACAGTCAGAAGCTGCTGCGGTCGCCACGGAAGCCCACGAGAAAGATCTCTAAGATTCCCTTCAAGGTGCTGGATGCGCCGGAGCTTCAGGACGACTTCTACCTCAACCTGGTGGACTGGTCTTCCCTCAACGTGCTCAGCGTGGGGCTGGGCACCTGCGTGTACCTGTGGAGCGCATGCACTAGCCAGGTGGGCTCCTGGGCACCCGTGTCCCACGGGGGTCTGGGTGGCCACGGCTGTGTGGGACACAGGACTGCGCTTTTCAGGACTGTGCCTGGAGGGGAGGGGAGGCGGGCGCAGCCTCCCCTCCCCTCACTAGAACCTCCTGCCCACAGGTGACCCGGCTCTGTGACCTCTCTGTGGAAGGGGACTCAGTGACTTCCGTGGGCTGGTCTGAGCGGGTGAGTGCAGAGGGCAGAGCCCTGGGGCCCCCCTGTCCCCCACAGAGGGAGGAAGGACAGAGCCCATCTGACTATGGCTGCTTAGTTGAAGGCTTTTTCCCTAGTGCTACACAAGCGCCCACCACCTAGCCACGGCCACTGCCTAGCCACACCTCAGCCTTCTTTGTGAGACCCGGCTGCTGGGAAGGCAGGTTTGTCCCAGCAGGAGCAGTGGTGGCTAAATGGTGACCGACTGTCACTTTTGTGGCCCAGGTGGGGCTCCATTGCTGGAAACCCTTGAGAGGATTATGGGAAGCAGTTTGTAGAGGCAGCTAGGTGCAGTGGCTCCTGCCTGTAACCCCAGTACTTCAAGAGGCTGAGGCTGGAGGATTACCCTGAGTTTGAGGTCAGCCTGCGCTGTATTTTGAGTGTGTGGCTAGCCTGGGCTAATGAGTGAGCTCTTGTTTTAAAAAGCAAAACAACAAAAAAATGACCACCCTCAGTCTCTGGCAGAGGACAAGAGATGGGCGTACTTCTCATACTCATGCCCAGCTGATGGCCCCCTGGCCCCACTGTTACCCTAGGGAAACCTGGTCGCAGTAGGCACTCACAAGGGCTTCGTGCAGATCTGGGACGCTGCTGCCGGCAAGAAGCTGTCCGTGCTGGAGGGCCACACGGCGCGCGTGGGTGAGGACCTGGCCAGCCCAGCCGTGCCTCGGGCCCCAGCCCTGGCCCAGGCCAAGGCTGACCCCCTTGTGTCACCCTGCAGGGGCACTGGCCTGGAACGCAGACCAGTTGTCATCTGGCAGCCGTGACCGCATGATCCTACAGCGAGATATCCGCACCCCGCCCCTGCAGTCAGAGCGGCGGCTGCAGGGCCACCGGCAGGAGGTGTGTGGCCTCAAGTGGTCCACAGACCACCAGCTGCTTGCCTCGGGCGGCAATGACAACAAGGTATGGCTACTGTCGGCCCCACGCTTGCCCAGAAGGCCACCTGCCTGCCCCTGCCACTCAGCTAGGCTCATGCTAGAACCTGGGACCAGTGGGTGGCCTGAGGTCCCCAAGGGAGGGGCTGATTTTGGAGGATGTGCAGGTTATGGCCCCGGTATTTGAAGCTCCTATCTCTGCAACCATCTGGAGATGACCTTGGCCCCAGGGCTGACCGGCATGGTGTGCGTGGCTCGTTGGGTTGTGGCCGCCTGTGTCTCTGGGTGGGCCTCTGTCACAGCCTGGGCCTTCCCCACAGCTGCTTGTATGGAATCACTCAAGCCTAAGCCCCGTGCAGCAGTACACGGAGCACCTGGCGGCCGTGAAGGCCATCGCATGGTCCCCACACCAGCACGGACTGCTGGCATCTGGCGGGGGCACAGCCGACCGCTGCATCCGCTTCTGGAACACCCTGACTGGCCAGCCGCTGCAGTGCATTGACACGGGCTCGCAAGTGTGCAACCTGGCCTGGTCCAAGCATGCCAACGAGCTGGTAAGTGCGCGAGGTGGGCGCGGGGAGGGTGCGGAAACGCCCAGCCAGAGCAGCGCTGAGCCCTCGGGAACCGTGGAAGCCTGGGGAATGTACACACTCTAGACTGAGGCCAGCCCGGGCTGGAGGAACAGGCAGTGCAGGCCGCAGCAGGGTCCTGGTCACTCCTTATCTGAGGTACCAGGGGTCCAGTCCTTCAGCCTTGCCACGGCAGGCTCCGTGATGCCGTGGAGGGAGGCCCCCAGGGAATCAGCCCTCCGCAGCCCTGACACCCAGCCCCTCCACTAGGTGAGCACACACGGCTACTCGCAGAACCAGATCCTCGTGTGGAAGTACCCGTCCCTCACGCAGGTTGCCAAGCTCACTGGCCACTCGTACCGTGTCCTCTACCTGGTGAGTGTCGGCCACTGTTGCTGTCCGCATCCTGGGGCTCTGTGTGGCAGGCTTGTCTCTGGCTGCCTGAGAGGCTCCAGGAACATCACAGCACCGTCCGCAGCCTTCCTGCTGTCCACTCCTAGTGTCGGGTGCCAAGCCCCCACAGTTAGCCAGTGTCCCCTGGCCGCCTCAGCTGTTCCAAGCGCAGGAGCCCAGGGATCAAACCAGGCACAGCTGGGGCCTCTTGTGCCTTGCAGCCTCAGCCCAGGGTCCTGTCCCCTGCTCCCTTCTGCCTGGGTCCCAGAAGCTGCCTCCCTCGGCTGGAAACCACTCAGGGCCCTTCTGTCCTTTCTGTAGGCCATGTCCCCTGATGGGGAGGCCATCGTCACGGGGGCGGGAGATGAGACCCTGCGGTTCTGGAATGTCTTCAGCAAAACACGCTCTACAAAGGTAAGGGGGTGGGTGGTATCTGCTTGTCCGCCTACTATGTGCCCTGGGTTCTCGGGGCACCTGGGCACACAGTCACTTGCTTCTCCTGTTCCCAGGAATCCGTGTCTGTGCTCAACCTCTTCACCCGGATCCGATAGACCCGCGGGTGGGATGCGCAGCCCCACGGGGCAGAGACGGAGCAGCCAGCATGCATGGGCCCTGCCGTCCCTGCCGTCCCCAGAGGCATCTGGCGGGCGGGCGGGAGCTGGGCCGGAGACCCCAGAGTCTCATTAAACGCCTCATTGTGAGCTGTGGAGCCGGTGTCTGGGACGGGGGCGCAGGGGCCCTCAGCCACCGGCTGCAGCCCCTTCTTGCTGGCTGGCAGCACCCAGATGGACACTTGTGACCTCCCTCTTACCACTGCCCAAGCCATACTGGACACAGCTGAGCAGGAGACCCGAGATCCCATCAAACCCCCAAACCCAGTGTCACCTGGGGAACTGTGAACCAGAGCCGTCGGGCCCTCCCTGCAGCTGCCCAAGCTGGGCCATCCTGGGAAGCGCTGGCAGGGACCTGCGCCTCTCGCCGTGACACCTGACTGCATCGCCACCCCATGTCTGTGTGTGCACCTCCTGTAACCCCTTCCCGTGCGCGTCGCCTCACCCTCTCCCCAGCTAGCTGCCTTGTCTGCCTCATCCTGGCCTCCCTGTCTTCAGCTCCCATCTCTGCTACTGGTCCTATCGTGGGGATGCTCTGCAGACCCCCAGTGTGGTGGCCGTGGCCTGTGGTGTGTGCACGTGTGTATATATGTATTTGTGACACCTTAGGGTCTGTCTGTTTTGTTCCGTTGTCCCAAAAATGCTGATGCCATCGGGACGTGGGTGGCTGTGGGGTTCACTGCCTGCGGGGTTAATTACAGCCAGATCCTAACCTCCCTCTCCTCCCAGCCCTGCCCTGGTGCACCCAGCCCCCCTTCTCCTTTCTCTTGGAGTGCTCTTAAGGGGTACTGTCCCACCCCGCCCCTCAAGTCACAGCCTGACTAAGCACATCCCACTGAGGCCAGACAAAGCAGCCCAGCTAGGAGAGGGATCCAAGGGCAGGAGTCAGGCAGCGCCTGCTTCCATCAGGGCACCCACACGGTGACTCTAGCTGCCCATCTGCTGTGTGCAGGGGTTTGTGGTTCAGGTTGTGGTCTGGATCCTCAGGCCAGTGGCTCACCAGCATAGGGCTCCATCAAAAGTGGGGTTCAGGGTTGCCTGCTGCTCACAGCCTGGATTTCATCCCTTCCCCAAAAGCAGAATGACCTCAGCTGTGTGTTGATGCTAATGGGCCATGTGGCATGGCCTTTTGATGGCAGGAACTGTGCTGGGCATACTCAACACCAGGGGCAGTGATTGCTGATGTCTCTGGCCCCATAAGGCCCCTGCCTGGACAGCAGTGAAGAGGCAAGGAGCTGTAGTGTCAGGGCTAGCAGGATGTTGGGCTGGGCCAGCTCAGCAAGTTCTACTTCAGCTGCCTGAGTCTTGGGGAGGGGCGCTAGGCACCTACCCCATGCACCTCACAGCAGTCTCTCTGGTAAGCTAGCCAGGGAACCCCAGAAGCCCTAGGGTTGTGGGTACAGCGTGCACAAAAGCCTGACCTGAGGCAGGCCAGGCTCAGGATGTTAAAGAGACGTCTGTGACACAGGCACCACCCGTGCGGGCTGAACAACATTAAGTCTGTGTTGCCGGTTTATTATCCTGAGATGCACAGAGTGAACAATGCGCCATCATAACATGAGCAAGCTCCTGGGCTTGGCATCTTCAGCGATGTAACAGTCCCCAGAGGCCCCAACCACAGCCCCCAGGGAAACCCCTCCCCAGATGGATCTCCATGTTGTGGGCATATCCTGTTGCAGAGCCCACACTTTGTGGCGTTGTCTTTGTGTCCCTCCATAATGGTTGGTGACAGCCTCAGGCTGAGTGTACTCCAGGGTCTGTACCCATCACCCAGCTGAATCCCTCTGGCTTTCATACCTCACACTCTGGCTCAGTATGCACACCCACGAGCCCTTCTTGGTAGGTGTTGGTGAGGGTAGGCTGTGGGGACCCAGGCTCAAGGAGGGCACGGCCTCCTTGTGGGACAGGGAACACTCAAGAGGCCCCAGGCACTACTTTGGTCCTGATGGCTCCAGCCCTACACCAGGAAGTGAGCTGTCATGGACTGCGGCTGCCCCCTTCCGTGTTGCTGGGACACCTTTGTCCCTGTCAACAAAGGCTCTGGGGACTTGGTAGTCGGAGCCTCTGGGGACACAGAGGCAGACATGGAAAACCTGAGGCGGGAGGCTACCCAGCTCTACGTCCCCTCTGGCACCCTCGAGCGTTACTTCCCGCCCCCCCTGAACAGGTGGGTCCCTGCCCCCCACCCCTTAACCTGCAACCCTGGCGGCTGGTCTGCTGAGGCCTCCCAGGCGCACTATGCACAGGGGCCCCGGTCTGGCTGGGTCCCTCCCTCTTCCTCCTCCCAGAAGCCAGAGTGGCTTGTGCCCGTCAAACAAGTGCTTGGGAGGCAGGAGGGTTGCAACAGTGCGCCCCGCCTCAAACAAGCAGGGGGATCCTCAGGTAGGGGAGCACAGAGGAGAGGCTGGACAGCGTGGGGTGACCTTGGCAAGGGGTGGACGGGAAACCTGAGGCTGGGAGCAGCGCGCATCCCGGCTCAGTGCCTGTCCTTCCTCAGCAATGAGTTTGTGGCCCGGAAGGGGCCCCATTCGGCACCGGCCGTCAAGCAAGCCATGCGCTGGAAGTTTACGCCCATGGGAAGGGACGCGGTTGGCCAGGTGTGGTACACCGGCCTGACAAACTCAGCACCACGCGAGGCCTGGTACATGCTGCCCGCCAAGCTGGACAGCCCATACCGTGAGGCCCACGCGCGCTGGAACGGCTGCTTCCAGAGGGGCCAGCGCGGCCTGCCTGCTGGTGAGTGTCCTGCCCCTGGCCGGGCCCACCCGTGGGTGCCAAGCTGACCATCCCGCCCCCCACTCGCCTCCCCCCAGGCTACACACAGCACCTGCGGGAGACAGCCTTCTGGGACCCCGCGCTGCCCCCACAGTACCTCGCCACGGGCACGCGCTGGGGTTGCGTGCCATGGAAGGACAGGCACATCCGTGGCAAGGAGTTCGGTGAGCTGCAGGGATGGGGTCAGGAGGGGGACAGAGGGCAGGGCCTCGCATGGGTCACCCCAGCACTCTGCTGGCAGAGAAGTGCGGGAGGCAGGCTGGGCTAGCCGGTGTCAAACCAGCAGGAAGAGCCAGGAGGTGGGCTAGACCTCGGTGGGTGGTAAGGTGAGGGGTGGCGCTGCCAGGCGTCGGGGGGCTGGGCTCCAAAACCCCCAGCCGGAGCTGCTGAGCCGGTTGGGGGTCTACAGTGGCAAAAAGGAGCCAGTTCGGGGTGGAGCTGCCCTGGCAGTCCGAATACGTGCCGAACCTGTCGCCGTCACTGCGGCCGTGCTACACCACGCAGGACTTCACGCAGCGGGCCGTGGAGCGTCGGTACCGGCCCACCGGCCAGCCGCTCGGGGCCATCACACCCACGTTCTGATAAAGCCTTGCTGCTGACCCCTGCATCCACATGTCCCCATGTCTTCGTCGATGGTTGGCATGCCGTGCCCTCTGACCCCGCACAGGTGGGGGCCGGGGTGTCTGCCTGGTAATTAGTCTTGTTGGCCTGGGGAGCCAGGAGTCAGGGCCGCTCTCCAGGGTTCCCTGAAATAACAAGTGGGGTGGCATTGGGAAGGGCGGGTCCCAGGCCGCACCCTCTGGCCCCACCCAAGTCACAGTGATGGAGACTCACAGGTCCGGATGCGGATGGGCCAGATGAGGAGGCTGCAGAGAGCCAGGGCCGCGGCCACACCCACGCCGCCCGTCACGGCCGCCATCACCCAGTGGTAGAAGCCGACGCAGGCCCCACAGCACAGCTCGGAACTAGAGGACAGAAGGTGGCTGAGGAACACAGGAGGGCCAGGCTGGTCCTTGGGGACTGCTGCAGTGTCCCTGCTACAGTCTCCATGGCTCCCACCTCAAATTCTAGAGAAGCCTGGGCTTCCTCAGGCTGGTGCCCCTCAGGCTCCATCCTGCCCCAAGGCCTTGTGCCTGCCCTGCCTGTGCTCAACTGGCCAGGTTCTCATGGACCCTGCCAGCCTCCTGCCCAGTTCCTGAGAGCATCCCCACCCCAAAGCTCAGCCCACTTCTGCATTAGCAGTGACTGACAAGGCTGCACTTGTCCTGGGCCAGCAAGGTGGCTCGGGAGCCACACTGTGAGGGCCTGAGTTCCTCTGCGTGCCAGCTGCAGCTGCGCCCAACCAGGCTGCGTCCTCAGCACCCAGCTCACAAGAAACTCAGTTTGTTGAATGAATAAAACTGCCCAAAGTAAGGAATGTGTCAGTCTCCCGGCGTGAGGGGCTCGGACTTACGGGCAGGGGTGGAGGCTCTGCACGGCCATGACGGCCAGCCCGTTGGCCACCTTATCCGTAAAGCTCATAGCACCGTACACGAAGGCTCCGCTGTGCTGGAGGACACACAGGGAGTCAGCGCCCAGGCCGGTTTCCCAAGCACCGCCTCCCGAGGCTGCTCCGCCAGCCCTACCGTGTGTGGCCCAATGAGGTCAGCTGTCATGGACAGGGAGGTGACAAGGATGGTGGCACAGCCGGCACCCAGCAGCACAGAGGCCCCGTACACGGCCACGCCCAGCTTATCTACCAGGGCCACCCAGGCTGCAAAGGCCAGAATCACCAGCAGTCCCACGAAGTAGGTCATCTAGGGAGGGAGGGGGCCCAGGCCAAGTCAGGGCCAGGTGCTGGGCACCCTGTGCCCGACAATTGCCTCAACCCAGTAAAAGGCTCCATTAAAACTTGTCCTGTTCCACACTTAGGACAGGAATTCTGTACCCAGCAGGACAGGCATTCTGCACCCAGGGCGGACATTACTAATTGATTACCCATTCTGCATCTAGGGTAGGCAGTCCAAGCTCCCTAGCATGGTTCCAGAGTCTGGCAACCAGAGAGCCCAAGAAGCCTGGACTTAAGATTCAGGCTGTAGTCTGCCCTGGGGGGGTCCCCACCTCTGCCGCCTCCCAGCCACACCTGTCACTCACATTTCTCCCTATGCGCCTGTTGACTGGCTTCATGAGGAAGGAGGAGAAGAAGCCGCTCAAGTACATCACCAGGGGGATGGTGGCAATGAACTTCTGCAGAGGGAGAGGCAATGGTGGTCCAGAGGAGTGGCCCAGAGGGCAGAGGGGAGGGGCTGCCCACCCTCACCCCCGCCTCACCGGCTCACCTTGGGCAGGCTGAGGGAGTAGGTGAGGTACATGGCAATGTAGGTCTGAGACAGGTTCACGATGAGCCTTGTGGTCATGTACAGCAAGCCCACCTGTGGGCAGATCAGCAGGGGACAAGAAGGGTCAGGGGAGCCTGGTGCACTCACACCCGTCAGGGATGTGAGGGCTCCTGGGGGGGGTGCTTCTGGGGAAATCTGGGATTAGCCCTGTCTGCCCCGGCTGAGGAATGAAAGTCGACTGGTAATGTCTGTCCCGGTTGTGAAGTGGAGACTAAGATTTGCCCTGCAGGCGGAATGCAAGGCTGTCCGTGCTGTCTGTCCTGGGTGGGGGATGGGGAATCAGCAATGTCTGTCCTGAGAAGTCAGGGGAGGAGCGATCAGCGATGTCTGTCCCAGGAGTGAGATGGAAATCGGTGACATCCACTCGGAGCTGGAGCAGGCTGTTGAATAGTCTATGCCCCGTGTAGGAGGCTGATCCGTAATGCCTGCTCTGCATGTAGACTAGGAGGTAACGTCTGCCCTGGGCCATTCTGATGGCCTTCCTCTCCAGTCTCCTTGGCCTCACAGCGTACCTGATAGAAAGCTGGCTCCCGAAGCCAGTGTTTCCAGAGCAGCAGTGGTCTGTCCGCTGGAGCCACCAGGGGACTGTGCTCGTCAGGCTCCGACCCCCGGGGCCTAGGCCGGCGCCCCTCCTTGGTCCCCAGGTGGAAGAGCAGCGAGAAGATGGCGCCTAGGCCCACCACCAGCAGGGCCAGGTTCTGGGAAGGACAGCAGGGGTCAGCCAAGGCTCTCCCAGGCTCAGGGTCTCCGGGTCGATCATGGGGCCCTGACTTACCCGAAACACAGGCACATCCTCGACTCCCAGCTGGTCCCCCACACCGATGTCCTGGCCCGAGTGCGAGGAGGCCTGCAGGTGCAGCAGCAGCCAGGCGGCGCCATACACTGTGATGTTGGCCACCACGGTGAAGGCGTACCTGCGGGGCGGGGCGGTCTCAGGACTGGAAGGCTCCGCCGAAACCAGGCAGTAAATGCTAACTCTTGTCAGCACGCCACAATCCCAGCGCCTGACGGCCCAGCAGCAGCCCTGCCAGGGAGGGTCCTCCAGAGGGACAGGCTGCTAGCCCACTGAGGGCAGCGATCAGGTCTCGGAAGGGAGGGCGTCCCTGGAGGGCCCGGCCCGATCCAGTCACCCTAGGAAGCTGGGTTTGGGCTACACCTGGGATCAAGGCCACTCGGCCAGCCTCAGAGTGTCAAATGCCTCAACTCCTAGAGGTATATTCCAGGCCAGGCACAATGGTGCTCTGGAGGCTGAGGTCGGAGGATCACAATTTAGTAAGAAAGTGACTCAAAAAAAAAAAAAAAAAATATGAGCAGGTCAGAGGTGGCACAGGCAGGCAGGTCTTGTCTTGAGTTCAAGGCCAGCCTGGTCTACAGGGAGATTTCCAGGACAGCCAGGGCCACACAGAGAAACTCTGTCTCAAAAAAATAAAAATAAAAAAAGAGCACCATCCCCAGCCCTGGAGTACCTGAGGGCTGTGAGCTCCACCTTCTCGTGGTCATTGGTCACCAGCTCTGGGATGAGACTGAGGTGGGCAATCTGTGTGGCCGCCCAGCCAAACTGGAAGATGACAATGAAGGGTCCGTAGTAGAGCAGGGCGGCCCACTCGGGCGTGGCCTCCCCGCAGCCCAAACATGGGCTGAAGATGAACGGGAATGACAGCAGGACACAGACGGTACCTGGGATGGCAGAAGGGCCACATGGAGGAGTCAGGGGGCAACCGGACAGGCAAACAGAACAGAGGGGCCCAGCCTCCACCCTCTGCTCAGATGGAGAAACTGAGGCACAGGGCATGCCAGGAATCTTCCGGTCACCTTAAGTGGCCTGGCTTAATTAAGGACAGGGAGAAAGGGCTCTCAATGGAGTCCTGCTCAGGGTCAGGGACACACACACACACACACACACACACACACACGGGACCACACCTACCACCCGCCCTATGCTCTCCGTCCCCAGCTGGGCAGGGAGGAGTCTGGAGGTGAGGAGGCTCTGAGCCCAGACTGCTCCTGGGGCTGGGGCAGAGCAGCGCCTGTCGTGGTCCAGGACACCCTGGGTACCCTGCCCCGGCCTTGGCACCCTCGCCGCAGCCTAGCTGCCCCATCGCACCCTTAGGTGTCTCACGCAGCGCTCTGCGTCGCCCTCAGCCTCTGAGCCCGTCACCCCCACCCCCGGGGGCTCCTGTTTGAGCTGCTCTGTCGCCCACCAGACCGCAAGCTGTAGGGGCTGGGGCAGGTAACTCCCCCCTCAGTCCCTTCTGTGTTAGGCACAGGCCAGACTGGGGACAGTGAACTCCAGGTAGGGTAATAACAAGGGGAGACATCAGCGATGGCATCACACAGCCCAGGCTGGCCTAGAAGTCCTCATCCCCCTGCCTCAGCCTCCCCAGGGCAGGGTTCATTAGGGCTGGGATGGAGGCCGGGATCCTTGCCCCCTGTGAGCACACTGTCCAACCCTTGCAGAGGCCTCTAAGTGGATGAGCATGAGGCCTTGTGGGACAAGGAACCCTACAGAAAGGACTCTGAGTCTTGGTCCTCTGCCTAGCACTGGGCTTCCAACTTCCCTTTCCTGCCTGGAGGTGACCTCACCACCCCCAAGCCTTGGATTGAGAAATAAAACCAACTCTCAGGAGGGGCGCAGGGCAGATTCGCAGGGGCTGCCCCATGGGGCCCCGTGGACTCTCTCCCGTGACCACACCACACCCTGCGGTTTCTGAGACCTGGTTAACCATTGGCCAGGCCAGGGTCCGGCAGGTCAGCTCCAGATGGGCAGCTTGGTCTCTCTGGTCCTTGATTAACCTAAGAGTTCTTGCCTGGTTCTGGGTTTCCTCTGGGACCGGCACCAGGAGGCAGAAGCGGTAGGCTCGGAGTCTGAGGCCAGCCTGGGCCACACAGTGACTCGTAGGCTGGCCAGGGGATGCTTCCCCTGTCCTGGCCCTGGTAGCACAGAGAAGTGGCCCGCTGCTGCAGTGCCCATCCTGTCCTCCCTCACCTTACCTGACCAGGTGCCTCTCCAGGCTGTCCCACAGCGATGGGGTCCAGGGGCTCCTCCCCAGACCTCAGCTACTCACTCAAGACCGACCCAGGCTCTGGGCCTTTGCAAGGCTAGGCTGGCCCAGTATCTCCCCAAAAATAGGAGCCCTTTTGAGTACTTCTTTTCTTTTTTGGAGACGGGGTATCACTAAGCTGCCACCCCCCTGCCTCATCTTCTCAATATGATAACAGGTGTGCAGGTTGTACCTTGAATGCCCATACCAGGCTACTACTGCCCCCTCTCCTCGTCCCGGAATCTTCCTGGGTCTACGGCCTCGAACAATCCTGAGAAACTAGAAATTCCAGCCCCCAAGCAAGCAGCTGCCGCCGACCATCCAGCCTGGGGCCAGCGCTGTCTCGAAAAAAAATGTCAAGAGGCCGGGCTGGGCTCTGTAATCACCAGCCAGAGGAAGGGCCTGGTGGAACCTGGGATTCCACAAGGAGCAGCTTCGATCCACGGCCAACCTCCTCAGCGTCCACCAAGAGACACTGAGGGGCACCCAGCTGGGCGGCCAGGATGTGAACTCAGGATGAAGAGCTGAAGAGCGGGTGGCTGTTTTGGAGGGACAGAGGGAGAAGGAAGGCCAAGCCACAAAAGATGACAGTCAGGGAAGGGAAAGACATGGTCCAAGATGACAGGGATCCCCAAGATGCAACATGATGGACACAGGATAACAGTCAGAGGGAGGTCAGACACAGGGTGACAGTTAGATACAGTTAGACGGACATAGGGCGAGAGGGGAGGAACACAAGGGGTAACACAGGGGGTGGCAAGACAACGGGTGACATCGGGAGGAGTATACGGACAGCGGGTGACAGAGGGAGGGAGGACAGACACACATGGAGTGACAGTAGGAGGAAGGACGGACACAGGGAGACAGTGGGTAGGAGGACACAGACACACGGGATGAGTAGACGGACAAAGAGTGACAGTGGGAGGGAGGACAGACACACATAGGGTAACAGGATGGTAGGAGAGACATTGGGTTACAGTAGGAGGAAGGACAGACACACATAGGGTGACAGTTAAGAGGGGGAGAACGGACACAGGGGAGGGAGGGAGAACGGGCACACACAGAGTGACAGTTGGAGGACGGCTCACCCGCTAGGTGCCAGGCCTTGCGTGGCCCGCAGCGCGCGCACGCGGCGCGATCCGCCTCGTAGCCCACGAGCGGCGTGCAGAGCCCGTCGGCAACCTGGCCGAGCAGCAGCAGCAGCCCGGCGCCGCGCGAGCTGTAGCCGCGCACGGAGTGCAGGAACAGCAGCAGGTAGGTGAACCACATGCTGGCGCACAGGTCGTTGAGGAAGTGGCCGACCGCGAAGCTCAGCCGCGCGGCGAGGGACAGCGCCCGCGGCGGCCCGGGGCCCGCGTCGCGCGGCGGAGGCGACATCGCGGTCGCAGCCCCCACCGCCGCCCGCGCGCCGCCCGCGAGCCCAGGCGGCCGCAGCTCCCTGGAGCCGCCTCAACGGGCGAAGCCTCGGAGCGACGGCCGCGCTCGCCAATCAGAACGGCGCGCCGTGCCTGGGCGTCCAATCAGCGAGCGGGGGCGTGGCCTCGGCGCGTCGGCCTCCCTACGCCCTAACACCGCCCCCTACCGGTCAGGCTTTCCTCAGCGTAGTTTGTTTCCCTTTTCTTTTCTTCGTATTTTTAGTTCTTTGATTAAAACAAAACAAAACAAAACAAAACAAAACAAAAAAAACAGGTTTTTTTTGTTTCCTTTTCTAACACAGTGTCTCCTGTAGCCCGGGCTGGCCTTAACATCCCTGCATAGCAGGAGATAAGTTTGAACTCCTGGTACTCCTGGCTCCACCTCCAGGGTTACCGGGAGGCATCAAATTTATCCTTTCAACATGAAAACTTTTTGTTTTGAGTCAGGGTCTCATGTGGCTCAGGCTAGTCTTAGGTTCACTACTGAGGAAGACCTTGAACTCCTGCCCCTCCTGCGTCCCCTCCTGAATACTGTGGGGGTCGTTGCACCCCCTTACTAGCCTTTTTTTTGTTTTGAGGCAGGGTCTCACTAGCCCTAAAGTCCCTCTACAGCCTCGGCTGACCTTCCCCTCTCAGTCCTCCAACCTCAGCATTGCAGGCCTAATCCACGAGGCCCGATCCAGGGAACAGAAGTGGACCCGGGTGCCTGCCACCCACGCACCGCTTGCCTTGGGCCCCGGCCGGCTGTGGCTAGAGGCCAGCTCACTCCTTGGCTCCCTGCAGAAGGGGACCAGAGTGAGACCATACACTCTTGGGTGATCCCATAAACTTCCATACATACACGTGAGCCGCTTGGGGGACATATTAGTGCTAATTAATCGTTAATTACGGATAATAGTGGGGCGGGACATTGTAACACAGGCTAGCCTTTAATGAGGGCTGCTGGTGCCAGCCGCCCCACGTGGCTGATGGGAGGGTTCACTCCTACTTACTGGCTTGTTCTGCCAAGCACACTCAAAGAAAGGGGAAGCTAGGCCTCTGCCGTCAGCGGCCTGGTGACTCAGAGACACAGGTGCTGCACACCCCCTCAACTCTTCCAGGACTAGATCACTGGGCGTCAGTGAGACAAGTGTCCTTCTACTTCCTCTTCCTGACATCTTATTTTTTTCCCTCCTTCCCCCTGGCTGGCCTCAAGCTCAGCTATGTAACTGAGGCTGGCCTTAAACTCCTGATCCTCCTGAGTGCTGAATGACAGGCCTGTGCCAGCTCATCTGCTCTCTGCAGAGTCGGGGCCGGAACCAGGGGGCCTCGTGTTTTACTCACTGAACGATAGCCCCAGAAGGATTCTCTCATGGTAGCCCAGGCTGGCCTGGGCCTCAGCTTCCTCCTGCTGTACCCTCTCAATGATGGAATGACATGCCCCATCACGGTACACAGCCTTCCTCCAGGGTTCCTCCATTGCCTAAGAACCACATCTGTGCTCCAGCCATGTGTGTGACCCAGACATGGCAGCCACTCCTTTGTCCAGCAGAATCCCAGAGGAACCTGTGTGCGTTCCAAGACAGCCTGGTCAACAGGCTGCGTTCCAGGACAGCCGGGGCTACACAGAGAAACCCTGACTAGAACTGAATGAATAGATAAGGACTTCCACCTCGGCTCTAGGAGACAGAGGAGGCAGGCCTGCTTCTGAGCCAGCCCTGGGCTGCACACCAGGAGGGGGAGGGAGTCTGTGGCGCCCTGGGGATGTGACCTGGGCTGGGCAGCAGATAAAGCCACCTCATGGCCCTTGGCCTGAGGGGATTAAAAGATAGGAAGAGGTAGGGAGAGAATGCGCTGATTTTCCCCCACTCCACAGGGCAGGCTCCGGCCAGCCCCTCCCAGAGGACTGTCTGCCTCAGGCTTGCTGGTAATATTAGCGCTTCACCAAACTTCACAGATGTGGCAACTGAGATCCTCGCCAAGCCCCTCGGCCACAGGGCAAGAAGCTTCGGCAGAGATATGCAGGGATTGAGAGCTCTGAGGCAGTTTAACTGCTGGTTGACCCTGCCTGGGGTTTAACTTCTGATCCTGTCCTGTGTCCCCACCCACCCCAGAGGCCCCATCTGCTGAGGAGGTCTCCAGTAGCCAAGGTTGGCCTCAAGCTCCCCCTGTAGCCCAGGAACTCCCAACCCTCCTGCTTCTACTTCAAGAATACTGGGGTGAATGGGTTAGCTACCACCTCCCCTTTAGTCAGTTGCTGGGGACAGACCCCAAGGCAAGCTGTGACAGCTCTCTGTTGCCCCAGCCTCAGCTTACTTTATTCTAAAGATAGGGTCTCATGTAGCCCAGGCTGGCCTGTAACTCTCTTCATAGCCAAGAGAAACAGTGAACTCCTGACAGGTCTGGGCCCCTGTGCGTGGCTGCCCGCAGCCTCCTGGAGCTGACTCATCAGCAACAAGCTGTCTCTGGGTTTCTGGCCCATTTGGATTCAGCTCATATTTCCCCTGCCCAGACTCTCTTAGGAAAGCTGGGCCAAAGCCAAGGACAAGGCTCTCCCACCTCCTCCATTGTGCCTCCCTGGCTGCAGAAGTCTGTGTGAGTGTCACAGCGAGGGCACTGGGGAGCCACGGCGGGACTGAGCACAAGGCTTCAGGTCAGGCGGGATCAAAGTGGGACCACCACTGAGCTGAGCCTCAGGCCAGTGGAGACAGAGACAGCGCCAGCTAAAGAGCCCAGCAGAGGGGGTGCTTCTGTCTCGCCTCATGAATGGAAGGGATTTGTGCCCCCGGAAAGGCTTTGGAGTCAGGCAAAGGTCAGAGAAGATCAGTTAAGAGGAAAGTTAGCAGGAAGGAATCAGTGCCGGACCCTCAGGGAAGGTCCTGACAGATCCTGACAGCCTTTGAAGTGCCTCCGGCGTCCCGGCAGCCCAGGACGCCAAGCCACCCACCGGGCATCGGATGTCCTGGTGGCTGGAGTCCAGCCTTGGGGTGGGAGGCCACTTTGATGCAGTGGGGTTCAGACCTGCTGACAGGCGGGCCATTTCCAAGGCTCTTCGGACTGTTCTGAGATGTCAGGATGGCTGGAGGGAAGAGGCCAGGCCTCAGGCAAGTCAACTGCCTCGTCTCCCCCACTGTTCCATAAGAGAGAACCCTTGTTGGACAGAGTGCTGGGGCCTTGCTGTGGCAATATTTTAAATTTTTAACTTAATTTCTTTCTCTTTTCTTTTTCCTTTTTTTTAAAGATTTATTTATTAATTAATGTATACAGTGTTCTGCCTGCATGTGTGCCTGCACACCAGAAGAGGGCACCAGATCTCATTATAGATGGCTGTGAGCCACCATGTAGTTACTGGGAATTGAACTCAGGACCTCTGGAAGAACAGGCAGTGCTCTTAATCCCTGAGCCATCTCTCCAGCACCACCACCCCCTTTTTTTAGACAAGCTTTCTCTGCATGACCCTGGCTGGAACTCTGTAGACCAGGCTGGCCTCAGAGATTCTCCTGCCTCTGCCTCCCTGAGTGCCGGGATTCCAGGAGTGCACCACAGCTCGAAGCTGAAGAAGAAAGTCTTTAGAAGTCCTTGTTAGCCGGGCGAGGTGGCACACGCCTATGATCCTAGCACTCTGGGAGGCAGAGGCAGGAGGATTGCTATGAGTTCGAGGCCAGCCTGGTCCACAAAGCGAGTCCAGGACAGCCAAAGCTACATAGAGAAACCCTGTCTTGAAAAGAAAAAAAAAATGTTGTTGGGCTGGAGAGATGGCTGAAAGGTTAAGGAGCACTGACTGTTGTTTCAGAGGTCCTGAGTTCAATTCCCAGCTACCACATGGAGGCTCACAGCCTGTACTGGAATCTGTACTGGAATCTGATGTCCTCTTCTGGCGTGCATGCGTACATGCAGATAGAGCATTCATACATAAAATAAATAAAATCTTTTTTTTCAAAGAGTCACTTCAAAAAAGAAAAAGCCATTGTTTTGTTTGGTTTACTAAACGGGAAGGGATAGAACCAGGACCTGCAGCTTGCAAGGCAAACTGTCCGCCACTGAGCTCTGTCCCCAGACATGACACTAACAGGGGTGTGGGGTGGTGAGGCGGGGGGCATGCAAACTGCAAGCCCCCTGTACAGAGTCAGGAGGCTCTCTGTGAGCTCAAGGCTAGCCTGGTCTACAGCACTAGAGGAGAGCAGGGCTACACAGAGAAACCCTGTCTCACATAACAAACCAAACCAAACCAAACCAGAAGGAGGTCTTTTGGTTTGGCTCAGGAGTAGAATCCTCCAGTGAGGGGCTGGGGGTGTGACTTAGGGCTAGAAAGGATGCCTACTCTCAATAAGGTCCTGAGTTCCATTCCCACCACCAAAACCAAAAATGAAAAGTGTAGAACAGACGAGCTGATCCATCGGCTATCTGAGCAGCAAGGAAGTGGCACCCCACACTGCACCCAGCCACACCTGTCTGAAGCTATACCCCAACCCTGGGAACAACTCTTCCCACAGTCCCCTGTGCTTCCCAGGGCAGCTAAAACCACCATGGACTTGCACCCACCCGGGTCTGTCTTGTTTTTATTAGCTAATTATTTTATTTTTTAGAAGTCAGGGTTTCTCTGTGTAGCCCTGGCTGTCCTAGAGCTTGCTCTGTAGACCAGGCTGGCCTCGAACTCACAGAGATCCCCCTGCCTGTGCATCCGGAGTGCTGACGCTCCGGGCAGGGTGACCCAGGAGCCATGGTGGCCTCTGTGCCTCCATCCTCACTGCTGCCTATCACTGTCTCCACCCAAATGCACAGATGCTGAAACAGGAAGCCCATCCTTGTTTGACCAAACCCAACCTTATCTAAGAAGGGCCATCTGCCCCGTCACCTGCTTGGGGGAAGCAGGGCAGAACCCAGTGGCCTGTGGGTTTGGGGAGTTGCTCTTACCAGCATGGTGCCTGATTTGTGCCCGTGTGGTCCTGTAGAAACAGGCCATAATCACCATATGTCTAATGAGTCACCTGCACTGTGATCAGTCAACAGTACACCATCACAGGGTCAGTAGCTTCGGAGCCCAAACCCCAGTGCATGGTGGGAACACCTGACTACCCCAGCCCTTACTGTGGCTACCAGGTACCCAACTTTCAACCCCTGGGCCGCACCTTCAAGCTCGCCCGCTCTTTTGAAGGTTGATTTATTTCAAGTTTGAGAGCACCTTCCTGGCATGTATGTCTGTGTACCACGTGCTTGCCTAATGCCCAAGAAGGTCAAAAGAGAGATCCCCAGGGACTGGAATTACAGATGGTTTTTAGCAGACAAACGCGAGCTGGGAATTGAACCCAGGTCCTCTGCAAAAGAAACAGATGCTCCCAACCCCGGAGCCAGCTTTCTCCAATCCTCTTCCGTTTCTCCTTGAATACGGAATGTTATAGAAGACTAAAGTGAAAATCACATTTGGCAACCAAGTGTGTCGTGTTGCTCTGTCCCTTCTGTTCAAATAATGGGGATCAAATTCGAGTTGTTGGCCCTCTCCGCAAGCCCCTTTGCCTGCTGAGCCGGCTCCCCAGCCCGCGGCTGTCCTTCAAAATGCTGTTTTTCTGAAAACGCTCTCAGCCCGGCTTCTCGCCTAGAGGTAGGCTAGGCTCAAGCCTGCGAGTCCTCCTGTGGTTCAATGGAGGCTCCCCGGGAAGGAAAACCAGCGACGGAAGGTCGAGGACAGGCTCAGACCATTTCCCAGTCCTCTGTTTACGCGGCGTGCGTTCCCTTGTTTATTTTGGCATGTGCGTGTATTGCGCACGTCACAACGTCACAGGACACGGTGCAGTTCAGGGGAGACCATTCACACTTTCCACCTTGTGGGTTCCGAACTCACGTCGTCCGCTAGGTGGCAACTGCGCCATCTCACCAGACCCAGTTTTTACTTATTTATTTGCAATGTAGTGAGAAAAAAGTACACCTTGCCCCAAGAGGCAGGGGGTTGCCCCTTTGGAACTTGACTCCTTCCCCAGAAGCCTAGTAAAAACGTCTCCATGCCGAGGACCACTGCGCCCCTTCCCCACACCCTAGCTCGCTCGAGCCTCAGCACAGGGACAGCTGGCCCTTTAAGGAGCTCCGCCCCACAGCACGCCGCCAATTGCCTCCGATTGGTCCCGAGCGCGTCCGAGCGCAGCCGAACTTGACGCACCCGCCCGCAACCTGCCCGACGGGCCTCCCACGCGGCTCCGCAGCTTTTCAGCCAATCACCGCCCGGCGCGCCGAGGCTAATCTGCATGACCCCGCCCCTCGTGGGGTCCTCGGCCAATTGGAGCTCTAGGATCGGGTCATTAGCATAGGGGCGGGGCGGGCGCGGACGCTTGGTTGGAGCGTCGCCGCATCCCAGGTCCCGGGAAAGTTTTTTCGGAGGTGAAAAGAGCCGGGAAGTCGGGGCCTGCGCGGGGCGGGGGCTGCGGGGCGCGGCCTCCGGGACTCGATCTCACAACAAAGGATCGCAGGGCCTCCCGCTCGAGGACCTCCCCGCCCCAGGATCCGCCTCCCTCGCCCGGGCGCCCCAGGCACTGGCCTGGGGTTCCCATCGGGGTGACAGGCGGGACCCCTTGACCTCTGCCGGCCTCTGTTCCAGGTCCCGCCCAGCCCAGAGAGGCCATGTCCCACGGTCCCCGGCAGCCAGGCGCGGCCACCGCGTGAGTGCGCCTCCCTGAGCCTGTCCCCACCCCGGGTAACCCTGGACCTGTCCTGTCCCCACCCCGGGTATCCCTGGACATTTCCTGTCTCCATCCGCGGGTAATCCTAGACTGCCGTGCCTCCACCTGGGGACCTCGGACATTCCCTGTCGTTACTCTGGGTATCCCTGCTTTGGGAACCTTTGGTCCTGTCCTGTCCTCTCCTGTCCCCTATCTAACTTATCCCCAACTCCTGGAACTTCTAGTCATGGCCTGTCACTATTTGGGGATTTCTGGCTCTAGGGTCTGTACTCCCCCCCAGAAGTAGCAGGGCATCCGGTGGTCGCCCTAACTCATTCTGTTCGCAGACTCTAGGACCCCCTTGCCTCTGTCCCCTGCTTCAAATCCCTGGGCTGTCCCCGCTGTGGTCAGTGACCCTTGGGTCCTCAAGTCTTGGGGATCTTCATGCTCCTACACGCTTCTCTCTTCTCCAGCCGTAATAAGTGGATGGGTGGTATAGGGAATGCTTCCGGCTCTGGGGGATGACCCTGTTTTTCCGTGTCCTCAAGACCTGCGGGAGGCAAGACGCCGGGCCAGCACGGGGCCTTTGTAGTGGCTGTCAAACAGGAGCGCAGCGAGGGTCCCCGTGCCGGAGAGAAGGGGTCCCAGGAGGAGGAGGTGAGTCCCCACCAGAAAGCCTCGCCCCTGGCTTAGCAACAGGAACCTCACAGGCCCATTCTGTATAGGCCCTCCCACTGAGTAGCAGGAGGCCACGCCCCAACCTACCTGTCAGCGTCTTCAGGCCCACCCCTAGGATGCTCAGTCTCGGCCCAGAATTCTGACCCTTGCTCTGCAGCCCTGCCCCTAAGATAGGCCCCGCCCACACGTCCCGACACAGCCTCCTCCTGCAGCCGGTGAAGAAGCGAGGCTGGCCCAAAGGCAAGAAGAGAAAGAAGATTCTCCCCAACGGGCCCAAGGCCCCGGTCACGGGCTATGTGCGCTTCCTGAATGAGAGGCGGGAGCAGATTCGCACCCGCCACCCAGACCTGCCCTTTCCCGAGATCACGAAGATGCTGGGTGCTGAGTGGAGCAAGCTGCAGCCAACAGAGAAGCAGGTGGGGACCAGGGGAGCCGGGGAGGCAGGGACAGGAGGGTCCCCGAGGCTCCCGGGCATCAGGGCAAGCCTCATGAGTGAGTTCCGGGTTCAGTGAAAGACTCTGAAGAAGGAGGTGAAGACTTGCGCACATACAGGCACGTGCAAATTGTACAGATATTAAAGAACCATAACACAAGCCACACACCAGCCTGCACCCATTGGACATGGAAGTTGGGGGGGGGCAGAGAAAACGCCAGATGTCAGTTAAACCTGGAGAGGGAATGCTCTCCTAGGGTTTGCTGGAAGGAGGCGTGGTGGGGCCTTCGATGGGGTCAGTACAGGCGGAGGGGGGTCCTGGCCCTGGCCTGCCTTCCTCTGGACTGGCTGTGGTCTATCCCCTCCCAGCGATACCTGGATGAGGCGGAGAAGGAGAAACAACAGTACTTGAAGGAGCTCTGGGCATACCAGCAGTCAGAGGCCTACAAGGTCTGCACAGAGAAGATCCAAGAAAACAAAATAAAGAAAGGTGAGTGCCCCACGGGGTTGCAGGCGGGGACCCTGCCCTGGGAGGGTCCCTGGAGGCCTGGCTGACCTGTCCTCCTTCCTCCCCTTCAGAGGACTCCAGCTCTGGGCTCATGAACACCCTCCTGAACGGTCACAAGGTAGGGGCCTCTCTGGCCAGAGAGCGTGGAGGAGAAGAAACTGATGGCTGTAGTTAGTGAGAGCCACTCTAAGGAGGAAGGGGCCATGACCACTTGCGGTCAAGATGTACTCCACAGAGTACATGGAGACACAGAAACTCTGGGGTGCGTCATTGCCCAGAATGCTCGGAGTCCAGGGCTCCACCGCTAGACACAAGGAACTGAAGGTTTTTTCATTTGAGAGAGGGCCTCATGTAGCCCAGGCTAGCCTAGAACTTACTGTGTGGCAGAGGATGGCCTTCAACTCCCCCTCTTTCTGCCTCTCCCTCTCTGGCTGAGGGATGACAGGCACAGTAGTGCAGCCCAGAGCTCTGTGCTGAGGAAGTGCTCCACCCCCCCCCTGAGCCCCAGCCCTTCCTGTGGTTGCCTTGGTGAGGTGGTCTCGGCGGCTCACACTTGCGCTCCTAAACACGTGGGAGCCTGTGTTAGGAGGGTTTTGGCAGGTTTGAAGCTAGCCTGAGACAGATCGAGACCCTGTGTCAGAAAACATAAACACAGCCAGGTGGTGGCGCACACCTCTAATCCCCGCACTCAGGAGGCAGGGGCAGGTGGATCTTTATAAGGCCGGCCTGGTCTACAGAGAGAATTCCAGGACAGCCAAGGCTACACAGAGAAACACTGCCTGTCACACACTACACATGCAACATAAACGTGAAGGGGAAAAACAGGCAAACCCAGAAAGTCCCGGCTCCAGCCTAGTGTGTCTCAGGGTGAGGAACACTCAGTGCCTCCTGCGGAGGATGGGTTCCATTCCCAGAACCCCATGGCTGCTCACAGCCGACGGCTCTGGGGAACCTGCTGCCTCTTCTGGTCTCTGTGGGTACATGACGGGCAGGCAGGTGGGCAGGCACACACGCGCACACACACACAAAGTGAAAACAAAGGCAACAGAAGCAGGCTCAGTGGTCCAGGAGACCTTCCAGGCCCCAGAGATGTGGCTTACCACCAAACTCATTGCCATGTCCCAGGGTGTGGACTGCGATGGCTTTTCCACCTTCGATGTTCCCATTTTCACCGAAGAGTTTTTGGACCAAAACAAAGGTGAGAATTTTAGTGGGCCCTGTTGTCCTTGTTGGAGGAAGCAGAAATGGGAGTGTGGGAGTCAGGCCTGGAAGGTGGAGGGGCTGGGGATGGTGGAGGATGGAGAATAGAAGGAAGATGGGGCCAGGGCTAGAGTGTGCCTGGAGTCAAGGCTGCAGGGTGGGATAGGATTAGGGATGGAGAGAGATTGGGTTCAGGGCTGGAAGGGGGTGGGGTCAGGGAATGAGGGCCCTAGGGTTGGTGATAGGGTCCAGGATGAAAGGGGATGAGGTCAGGGTGAGGCCAAGGATGGGGGGATGGGGTCAGTGTGAGGCCAGGGATGGGGTGGATGAGGTCAGGGGTGAGGCCAGGGATTGGGGGGATGAGGTCAGAGGTGAGGCCAGGAATGGGGGGTATGGGGTCAGGGGTGAGGCTAGGGATGGGGGGTATGGGGGTCAGGGGTGAGGCCAGGAATGGGGGGGATGGGGTCAGGGGTGAGGCTAGGGATGGAAAGGAGGTGTGGTCAGGAGTGAGGCCAGGGATGAAGTGAGCGTAGCCCTCCGGGACAGGCACGGTGGCTGCGGGATAGCCCTGGGCTCTGACTCCCGTCTGGCAGCACGCGAGGCGGAGCTGAGGCGCCTGCGGAAGATGAATGTGGCCTTCGAAGAGCAGAACGCGGTGCTGCAGCGCCATACGCAAAGCATGAGCAGTGCTCGCGAGCGTCTGGAGCAGGAGCTGGCCCTGGAGGAGCGGCGCACGCTGGCGCTGCAGCAGCAACTGCAGGCTGTGAGGCAGGCGCTGACGGCCAGCTTCGCCTCCCTGCCGGTGCCCGGTGCGTGGCCCCGCCCCTGGTCGCCGCCCCGCCTTCCCCGCGTCGCCCCGCCCCGCCCTCCCCGCGGAGGCCCCGCCCCCTCCGCAGGCCGCTCCCCCGGCCCCGCCCCTCACTGACTCGGTGGCCCGCAGGCACCGGGGAGACGCCGACGCTCGGGACGCTGGACTTCTACATGGCTCGTCTGCACGGAGCCATCGAGCGCGACCCCGCGCAGCACGAGAGGCTGATCGCGCGTGTCAAGGAGATCCTGGCGCGGGTGGCCAGGTGCGGGGCGGGGGAGGGCGGGGGGGCGGGGCTCGGCCTCGGGGGCCTCCTCACCTGCCTCCGTCCCACAGCGAGCACCTGTGACAGGCCCGGGAGACGCCCCTCCTCACCCGCCCAGGAAGAAGCTGCACCTTGGGGTCCCCAGACCCCCCTCGGATGAAATCCCAACAGCATCCCTGTAGCCCAGGACCCCACCCCAGGTTGCAGAGCCCAGGAGAACTGCCTGCCTTGCAGGGAGGGTCTCACGACTGTGGGGCAGGAACGGAGGAGCCCCGAGGCCCGACTTGGACACCGCGCCCCAAGCCCCTGCGAGCAGGACCCACCCCGGGTCACCGCGCAGGCACTGACTGCCACGGCACAACCCGGGGGAGGCTGCGGTGCAACCCCACCCCCAGCGCCTTCCTTCACTCAATCCGGACTTTTCAACAAGTGTTCAATAAAAACCAGTGGGTTCTCACTCTCTTGTGTGGCTTTGGAGAAGCGCGCCCCGCCCTTCACCCTGCTCCAGCTGCGGTGGCCTGACCGTGTCCTCCTACCTCTGGCAGAGTCTCAGAACAGTCACTACACTGTTATTAGGTGGGGAAACTGAGGCATAGCTGGGCTGCGGTCTCCCATCGCTCTGTCCCCCCTGAGGTCCTCCGTGGGTCAGGGGCTGGGGACCGCTGGCCACAGTTCATCCTGCCCCGTTTCCAGCCTGGACCCCGTCCACCTCTCGAAAACTTCAGTTTTAGTCGAGCGGTGGTGGCTCACGCCTTTAGTACCAGCACTGGAGAGGCCGAGGCAGGAGGATCTCTGTGAGTTCGAGGCCAGCCTGGTCTACAGAGTAGGCTCCAGAACGGAAGTCCTGACTTAAAGGGACAAAGAGCAGCGCCCATCACTGAGTCCTCCGCCATCTCCCTGTCTAGTTCTGGAACATTCCTCGAGCCCTGACTGCATGAGCCTGCGCCGTGGAGGTCTCATGCCCTCCGCCACTTCCTGTCCTCAGGTCTGGCTGCCTCAGTGAGCACTGCGGCATGTCCTCTTCACAGCTGAGTGGTAGCCCCGGCACCAGGCGTGTGCCCAGGCCGAGTCGCTCTGCCCGGCCTGCCTTGTCTGCTTCCTGTTAAGCCATCCACGTCCACGCCCCGGGGCAGGAGATAACTGTCCAGGATAACTGGCTCAAATTCGAGAGAGGCTGCCAGGACGCTGTTTAATTAATGAGATAGTAAGGGTATCTTTAAAACCTCGCCCAGTTCCACACACACGCCGTGCCAGTGAATCTATCCCCCAAGCCTGACCCGGCCCTCCCCCCAGAACCTCCAGGCATGACCGTATTAGGAATTAGGGCGACGGCTGTAATTAAGTCCAGTGAGGTCACGTCGGGGCAGAGTGGGCGCTGGGCCAAGAGTGAGTGTCCTTTCGAGAGAGGGGCAGTTGACACAGGCGTGTGACGACAGAGGCCAAGGACAGTCGGGGCCTCCCGGAGCACTGGGGATGGGCTGAGCCAGCTGAGCCAGACACAGGAGAATGAATTCCTCCTGAGTTTGTTTTGTGACAAGGTCTCCTGTAGCCGAGGCTAGCCTCCAGAGTAGCCAAGGATGGCTCTGCTCCTCCTGCCTCCACCTCCCCAGGGCTGGGCCTTTTTCTGTCTTATCTAATTTTTATTCTCTGTGACTGGTGTTCTGCTTGTATCGGTATCTGTGATGGTGCCAGGTCTTGGAGTTACAGAGAGTTGTGAGCTGCCATGTGGGCGCTGGGAGTTGAATACAGGTCTTCTGAAAGCACAGGCAGTGCCCCCCCCCCCCCTTTTGGTGTTTTGAGACAGGGTTTCCGCGTGTGGTCTTGGCTGTCCTGGACTCACGCTGTAGACCAGGCTGGCCTCGAACTCACAGAGATCGACCTGTCTCTGCCTCCCCAGTGCCGGGATCAAAGGCGTGGACCACCACCACCCGGCTCACCAAAATCGTTTTTCCAGGGTTGTTGGAATGCAACTTTAATTCCAGCCCTGGGAAGGCTGAGGCGGGAGAAGCAGGAGGGGTTCAGGGTCCTCCTTGGCGGCATAGTGAGTTCTAGGCCAGCCTGGACTACAGGAGACCCTGTCTCAGAGACCGAGCAAAAATTGTGGCGGGAGAGATTTGGAAACAGCCGCAGCAGGGAGCCTTTGAAATAAACAGGTGAGCAACAAGTCACTGGGGGCCCTGGGGACTGAGCCCCGGAGGAGGGCGCAGCTTGTGCAAGGGCCCTGGGGCAGGGCGGGCGCAGGGTGGCGGCTGAGCAGACCGAGGGGCGCGGAAGCGACCCGGGAGCCGCAGGGGGCGCTCCGGGGGAGGGTGTGGGCGGTGGGCTGTGCACGGAGCGGGAGGGGAGGAAGGGGAGGGAGGCCGGGGCGGGGCTCCCCGGGCCGCCGGGCCTGGACGCCGCCCGGAGCCGGGGGCCTCCCCTGTTGTTTGCGGGTCCCCAGGGAGGGCGCGGCTGGCCCTGGCGGGCGGTTTCACCTTCCCCGAGCGGCTCGGGTTCCCGGATCCGCTTACGGCCTGCTGCCGCGGCCGGGGCGGGAGGCGCAGGACGCGGCGGACCCGCGCGCCATGGACAGCGCTGCGCCCCCTGCGCCCCGCGAGCCCGGGGCCGCCGAGCCCCCCGCCCGCCCGCGCCCGCGCCTGGTGTTCCGCACGCAGCTCGCGCACGGCAGCCCCACCGGCAGGATCGAGGGCTTCACCAACGTCCGCGAGCTCTACGCCAAGATCGCCGAGGCCTTCGGCATAGCGCCCACCGAGGTGAGCGCGGGCCCCGGGCCTACCCGGGGTCCCCCACGCAAAGAAACGCGACAAGACCCCGGGGGTGGGATCTCCACGGCCGCCGAGGACCCGACCCAGCCTGCAGGAAGCCCGTGCGGCTGACGGGTGGCAATCAGCTCAGCGGACAGGGTGCTCAGGGCAGGGTGCTCGGTGCTCAGGGTGCTTGTACTCAGCGGGAAGAGCACTCACTAGCGTTCTGACCGCCACGCTCCATCCCCCACACAGGGTTAAGCAGGTGTGCTGATGTCATTCCACCACTGGGAGACTGCACCATTAGACTTTGCACGGAAAAAAAAAAATCACTCTTAATTCCTTGAATTGCATTTTCTTTTTGTTGTTGTTCTTGTTCGGTTTTTGTTTTTGGTTTTGTTTTGTTTTGTTTTGAGACCTTGTAGCTCTGGTTGACTCGCTCTGTAGAGCAGGCTGGCCTCAGACTCGAAGATCCGCCTGCTTCTGCCTCCCGAGTACTGGGATTAAGGCGTGTGCCACCGCTTACCATGTTTTCAATTTGTTATATGTGGGGCTGTCAGAGCGGACATTGGAGGCTGAGGAGCAGTTTGTAGGGTCAGTTCCCGCCCCGCAGAGCAGCTCCTGCGGGCTGGCAGGCTGTCTGGAAGGCCCTTGGCCTGCCCGGCCATCTTGCCTGCTCCCATTCCTTTGTTCGTTCATTTAATTAAGATAATATCTCACTGTAGCCCAGGCTGGCCTGAAACTCTGTAACCCAAGCTGGCTTCTAGCTTGCAGCGATCCCCTTGCCTCAGCTTCCCAGCTTCTGGGGTTACATTTCTGAACCAGGATGCTTGACCGTTTTTTTTTGTTTGTTTGTTTGTTTTGGGGGGACGACTCTCAGTCATCCTCCTGCCTCAGCTCCTGAGTGCTGGGATGACAGGCACAGAGCTTGGCCACGGTTAGGCCAGGCCCTCTTGTTCACAGGTGGGCGTTGGGGGAGGGAGGAGCCGCAGGCCCATGCGGGCCACGGGTGCCTCTGGCCTCCAGGGGGCGCGCGCAGAGCCGGTCTCTCCCAGAGGGGTGTGCGCAGGCTTCGTCATGGCTGATCCCGGGTCCCTGTCCTGTCTGGGCAGATCCTGTTCTGTACCCTCAACAGTCACAAGGTGGACATGCAGAAGCTGCTCGGGGGGCAGATCGGGCTGGAAGACTTCATCTTCGCTCACGTGCGTGGAGAGACCAAAGAGGTGGAGGTCACCAAAACGGAGGACGCTCTGGGGCTGACCATCACAGACAACGGGGCCGGCTACGCCTTCATCAAGGTGCCTGTGGGTGTGTGTCGGAGGTTTGTGCTCCTGTCTGGAGGCCCTGGGGGGGGGGGGGTGGCCGGGCGGCCCCGTGAGCGGCTATGGTTCCCCGCAGAGGATCAAGGAAGGCAGCATCATCAACAGGATTGAGGCAGTGTGCGTGGGCGACAGCATCGAGGCCATCAACGACCACTCCATCGTGGGCTGCCGGCACTACGAGGTGGCCAAGATGCTGCGCGAGCTGCCCAAGTCCCAGCCCTTCACCCTGCGCCTGGTGCAGCCCCGGAGAGCCTTCGGTGAGGGCGGGCGGCGGGTTGCAGGCTGGCCCCAGGCCACGCGAGGCAGGGAATGGTTTCCGAGCCGTGCGTGAGTGCCCACGCTCAGCAGGTGCCCCAGGGTGGCCTGGAGCTCCCCATCCTGGCCCGCCGTGCAACGATCTCTAGGGTGTGCCAGCGATAGGCCGATCTAGAAGAGCTTCTCAAGCTTGGCGATGGGAGCACTATTTTGGGGTGCTTCCTGTGTAGCGTGCCGAGCTTTTCAGGGTGCCGGGCAACTTCTCTCCTCAAGGTTGGACAGCCATGCATGTCCCCAGAGGAAGAGCAATAACTCACTGTGGGATTCCAGGAAAGCCCCACTCTGACCACGCCCCCGTCCCTCACTGGGGAATTCTAGGCGGGGCTCCACCCTGACCACGCCCCCAGCCCCTCACTGGAGGATCCTAGGCGGGGCTCCACCCTGACCACACCCCCAGCCCCTCACTGGAGGATCCTAGGCGGGGCTCCACCCTGACCACGCCCCCAGACCCTCACTGGGAGATTCTAGGCAGAGGCCCTACCCTGGACACGCCCCCATCCCCTCATTGGGCTATTCTAGGCGGGGCTCCACCCATGACCACGCCCCCAGCTCCATAGTCCTGCAACAGCTCTCCAGAGATTGAGGCAGGCAAGCCCTGAGTTCAAGGTGAGCCTGGGCTACGAAAGAAGATCTGTTTGTGACGGAAAACAAACATCTAGCCAAGAGGTGATGGCGCACACGTTCAATCCCAGCACTCAGTAGGCAAGTGGTCTCAGAGTTCGAAACCAGCCTGGTCTTCAGAGCAAGTTTCAGGACAGCCAGGCTTACTCTGAGAAACAAACAAGCAAACAAAAATAAATAAATAGACATAAAAAAGAAAACAAATGTGAAGAACAGCCCACACAAAACAACACATCTGTCCCTGCCTTGTCCGCTCCAGATATGATTGGCCAGAGGAGCAGGAGCAGCAAGTGTCCTGTGGAAGCCAAAGTGAGCAGCGGGAAGGAGACTCTGCGCCTGCGCTCCGGGGCCCCTGCCACTGTGGAGGAAGCGGTGAGTGACCGCAATTAAGGCTTGTCAAGCCCAGACCTGTCACCGCAGCACTCAGGAGGATGGTCACAAGTTCAAGGCCAGCCTGGCTTCTGAGCAGGACCCTGTATCAATAAGATGAGGACCCTGTTCTCAGAGCCTCAGTTTCCCGGCTTGTACAGCGGGTACAAGTTGGAGGACGGGACAGCAGGGAGCGGTCCAGGTCACAGAGCCCAAGGAGTGGTCCCTACTCCTGGCCAGAGCAGCAGCAGCAGCAGGGGCCGCGGGGACCCCAACTTACCTTTACCGTGGGGCTGTTTTACAGTCGTGTGCATGCGGAGGTCAAAGGTTAGCGTCTGTGTCTTCCTCTCTCCCCAACTTTTAATTTTTTAAATTGCATTTATTGCTTTATTACATTTTGCCCGAGTTACGTGCGCGCGCGCCCGTGCGGATGAGTGGCTCCACCACTGAAGAAAGCGGTTCCAGTCTAGGGCCCCGGGGGCGGGCCTGGTGGGCGTCGCCCTCGGGCTGGGGGCGTGGCTCCCGCCCGTCACTCAGCGGCGTTCCCCGTCCGCAGCCCAGCGACGTGGAGGAGGCGGCGGCGCGCAGGGTGGACGACCTGCTGGAGAGCTACATGGGGATCCGGGACCCCGAGCTGGGTAAGCGGCGCGGGTAAGCGCGGGGCCCCCGGCGCGGGCGTGGGCGCGGGCGGTCCGTCCTGCCCACCCCGTCCTGCTGCCCCTCCCTGCCTGCCTGTCCATCCCGTCCCTCCGTCTGTCCGTCCGGCCCTGCAGCGGCCGCGGTGGTGGAGACTGCGCGGAGCTCGGCGGGAGCGCAGGCCTTCGCGCGCGGCCTGGACGCCGTTCTGGGCGAGTTCGCCTTCCCGGACGAGTTCGTGGTGGAGGTGTGGGCGGCCGTCGGCGAGGCCCGCGACGCCTGTGGCTAGCGTGTGTGGGAGTCCGAAGCCCTGCGCCCAGCCCCCTGCCGCAGCGCCGCTCCAGAACCCAGGACAGCCCCGAGACAAGGCCCGGCTCTCGAACCCGCCCCAGTTCCGCCGCCCAGGCCCACCCCAAGGCCCAGCCCAACGCTAGCACCCAGCTCAACCCCGAGGCCCGGCCTGGATCCAGAAACCGCCCCGGTTCTGTGACCCAGGCCCAGCCCGAGGTCCTGCCTGCTTCTGGAACCCCAGTCCTCTCTGAAACCCAGCCTGATTCTGGGACGCAGCCTGGTTCCAGAACCGAAGTCAGCCCTGAAGTTCGGGCTGGCATTGGAACCCAGGACGGCCCTGGGGCCCAGCGTTGCTCCAGAGCCTATCCTGAAACTGAAAGCCAACCCGTCCCTAGAGCCCAGGCTGGCCCTGAGTCCAGGCCCAGTTCTGGAGCTCAGGGCAGTCCTGAAGACCACAACAGCCCCAGAGCCCAGGCTGGCCCTCAGGTCAGATTCCACTCGCAGACCAAGGTTGCTTCTGGAACAGAGACAGGCCGTGAGGGTGGGCCCGGTTCTAGAACACAGACACACCCAGTCAGAAATTCCTGCTCTAGAGCACGGCCAGGCACGGGGCCCACGCCCCATGCCGGAGCCCAGGTCACGGCTGACCGTCAGCCCTCCAAAGTCCAGCCAGGCCCTGCTGCCCTGAAGCCACGCTCTGGAACCCCGATAAAGAGCCAGCTAGGCTCAGAGCACCGCCCCAGCCCCGAGTCCTGGCAGTCAGGTTCCCAGACCCAGCTCAGGTGTGAAGCAGTCGCTGGGGAGGCCCGGCCCTTCTCTGATGCTTGGAGAGGCTCTGGAGGAACCGCTAACTCCAGACCTCACACAAGATCTACCACACCGCTGACTGATGGAACCCAAGCCGGCTCACAGAGCCAGGCACCTCCCCGACCCCTGGGCAGTGCAGGCAGCCAAAGCCATGCTGCTGCCCCTTCCAGACTGAAGCCCCAGCCCTGCCCCTCAGCCCGGCCGCCCCCCGGCACCTCCCGTCGCCCCACACCCCCAGCTGGCTGCAGTGATGAGTCCCGAATGCCATGCACCCCAGAAGCGAGGCCCAGCTCCGGGATGTCGCTGGCCACCAAGCTCTCCCCACCCAGAAGGCATGCCAGCTCCAGGACACAGTCCGATTCTGGGACCCAGACGGACTTCCAGACCGGGCCCAGCTCCGGAGCCCCCTCAGGTTGTGCTAGCGATCGAGGGTCTCAGTCACAGCCTTTGGCAGAGAAGGAGCCCGGCTCCAGGGCCTTGTCTAGTTCTGGGGACAAAACCCAGCAGCCGAAGACAGCTGGAGCCAGCTGTGTCCCCAAGGCAGACGCAGGACAGCGCCTTGACCCTGGAGTCCACTCGGCCTCCAGAACCCAGTTCAGTCCTCAGGTACCAGCACCCAGAGCTCAGTCCAGGCTGGCAGAGGTGTTGAGTTCCAGAACCGGCCCCGGCCCTGGCCCTGGCCCCAGCAGTTCTGGAAGTAAGCCCAGCTCAGGAGCCTGCCCCCTCAACTCTAGAGACAGCAGTGGCCCTCAGACCCCAGGCTTTGAGCCCAGCACACAGCCTGCTCCCCTGGCCCCACCTCAGTCTCTAAGCCCCCCCCCCCCCAGAGCTCCCACCCCTGCCCCCAGCAAGGTTGCTAGGCCCCAGCCTCAGGAGGAAACCCGGGCCACAGCCAGCCCCAGGCCAGGCCCCTCGGCCACTCTCCTGAACCGCGGCTCGCGCGCCCCCAGCGCCACCTCGGAGAAGCCAGCCCTTTCTCCCAAGCCCCAGCTAGGTCTCCAGAAGCCCGTGCCCCCCACCATATGTGTCACTCCCAGCCCCACCCCCAGGCCTGGGCCCCGCCCTAGCCTGTGACCCGACTCATCCCAGTAGGAGGGCAGGAGGGTGGAAACTGAGGCTTGGGTTTCAGGGGCCTGGCTGCGAACCCCGCGTAACAGGACCTGGCCAGGCCACGGAAGGCACCGGGGATGGAAGGCTCCCGGGACCTCGGTGGTGAATAAAGGAGCCGCGCGCCCCCACAGTCGCCTATTTCCCTTTGCCAGTGGTCTGCACGGAGCTGCGGGGCGGGGCGGGGGCAGATGGACGCACAAGGGACGCTTGGCTGAGCACCTGCTGTAGACATGACCTCCATCACCTGGCCATTCAAACATTTATTGAGCACGTGTGTTGGGCAGCCTCGGAGCGAGGGCGCCCAGCAAACAATGGAGGGGTTGGAGACCCCACCGAGACCTGGCCTTGGGGACCATGGTGGGCGCTTCCAGCACCCAGGGCCGGTGACCCTTGAGCCCCGGGCTTTGGCAGGGTGGGGCTCCCCATCCATGCCCCAGGCCGCTAGCTGGTAGGGAGGCATCTTCGGGGTTCACAGAAGCGAGACCCCTGTTGATGGCTGCCCTCCTTAGTCCACAGAGCCTTGGCGCTCCTGAGGCGGGGCCTGGCGGCGGCAGCCACCGAGGACCTGAGGTCTGGGGGACGGTCCTTCAGGGTCCGCTGGGCGTGGCCTGGGCTGGGACCTGCGTTGGGGGCGGGGGCGAGAACAGAGCCCGGAGCCGTGAGCTGAGCCCCGGATGCAGGCGCCGGAGCACCGACCTGCGGAACAGGATGTACACCCAGGGGTCCAAGATCTGGTTCCACGTGGCCACGCGCAGGTAGATGAGCAGCTGGTGCTCCGTGGCCCGCGACAGCTGCCCGGAGGGGCTCGTGGCGGGCGGCGCCTGCAGCAAGATCTGCACGATGAAAACCTGCGGAGCAGACTTGTGCTGGGTGACCTGGGGCGGAGGGACGGTCTCTGAGCTGCTGCTGGCCACGAAGGCGAGCAGGCTCTGGCGTGTGGTCCTACTAGGGAGCCAGGCTCCGACCTCCTCCTTTGCACTGATTTTATTTTACTGAGTCAGGGTCTCACTGTGTGGCCCAGGCTGGCCTCAGACTCCAGCCTCTGCCTCTCGAGTGCTGGGATTAACTGTGTGCGCCACCACGCTGGCTTTTCTTTTTATTTTTAAACAGAGCCTGGCCAAACTGGGACTCGGTCCTGAGAGCCTGGGCCACGCGCCTGCTTCTCCAGGCTCAGAGAAAAGTCGGCTTTGTGCTGGGGGAGTCTGTATACAGTTGGCACACGATAAATGTTTGCTGAAGGAATTAAAAACCAACCCATGCTCATGTTCAAGCTACCCTCCCTCAGCCAGCTGGGCCCTGCCCTCCCGGGAGGGCACCTGCGCAAGCGCAGAGTGCACGTGGCGCCTAGGAATGTCCTGCACCCAGCAGTCTAGCAGGCGAACTTCTATTCATCCTTCAGAGCCCTCCCGCAGAGTGTACAAGCCCAGCAAGTTTTTCCTGTGACACCTGCGGCCGATCCTGGAAGCCCGAGAGGATCCGAACCCTGGGGCTCCCCCTCTCCCGGAGACGCGGTGGGGTGGGGGCTCCCACGCGGGGACTCACCAGCAGGGGCATCCAGCACACGGTGGCCACCATCATGATGCCCAGGAGCTGCACCATCATTTCCACCTCGCCGTCCCGCGGGCGCTGCGCGGCCGGGGGCGCGCGGTAGACGCGGCAGAGCGTGGCCACGCTCAGCGTGTTGAGCAGGAAGGCCAGGGCCACGGCCGCGGCGCCCAGCAGCGCGAACAGCAGCCCGAAGGCCAGGTCCCCGCGCCGCGCGCCCAGCGTCAGGAAGCACCAGGAGCCGGGGTACTGCACGCTGTAGCGCCCGAGCCCCAGCAGCGGCAGCAGCGCCAGCGCCCCGGCCACCGCCCACGCCAGCGCCACGGTGGCCCACGCGTGGCGGCGCGGCGCGGCCCGCCAGAACGGCCGTGTGATGCCCGCCGACCGCTCGGCCGCCATGGCGGCGCCCAGCAGCAGGGGGCAGAGGCCGAAGAAGACCATGGCGGCGCCCATGAAGCGGCACAGGTGGCAGCGGGGGTCGGTGGCGCGCCAGTCCAGCAGGGCGACGTGCTGCGCCGCCGCCACGGCGCCCGTGACCAGCAGCCCCAGGAGGTCCGTGAGCACCAGGCCGCACGCCAGGGCCGCGAAGGCCGAGCGGGGCCCCGCGCCCGCCCGCGTCCCGGCCAGCGCGCTCAGCGCCAGCAGGTTGGAGCCCACGCCCAGCGCGCCGAAGGACGCCGAGTACCAGGGCGACGCGATGGCGCGCCGCTCCTGCAGGGAGATGTTCACCGGCCGCAGGCAGGCCCCCGGCGCGCTGCCGTTGGGCCACATGGCTTCCGAGCCCGTCGTGGCCGGAGGTCAGCACCGCATCAGGCGCAGGTGGCCGGGCCGGTGCGGCTCAGGTGCCCCTGCAACACAGGGCGGGCTGGTCACGCTGGCCTGTTGTGAACGCCTATCCAGCCCTCAGTGTCCCAGAACAAATGCCCTTTCTTCGAGGCGGGCCGCCCGACTACCCCTCCTGACCCCAGCCCGGCCTGGAACGATAAATCCTCCTGCCTCAGCCTCCCCAGCAGCTGCCACCATAGAGCTATGACCTACCACTTCTCCCCCCCTCCCTGAAGTCCTGGGCTTGGGCTCCAATCCTTGAGCTGACTGCTCGGCCTCAGTTTCCCCACCTGTCAGTCATCCCAGGCTGTGAGGGCTTGGGGGCACACTCACCGAACTGCTGTGGGCCCATCCACCCCTTCCTGACGTCACCTTTATAATAAGAAATGGAACCAGAAGGTCACGGTCCATTTTGGGAAAAAAAAAAAAAAGAGCCAGACAGATGGCAACGGTTCCCCAGGGAGGACTCGGGCATGGAGACCGGTGCAGGGCGAAGGGCGGTGCAGGGACAGAGCCCAGGTCTAAAAGTGAGACCATGCAAAAACCAGACGTTCCCCCAACGGGGAGGCTGAGGCAGGAGGATTGCTGTGAGTTTAAGCTACACGGGGAGACTTGAAAAATAACATATAAGTAAATGAGTGAAAAAACCAAGCCCAGAGACCAGAGTGAGGCACCAGTCACACGGTGTTCCTGTGAAGCCCAGAGCGAGCTACGGCGACCCTCCTGCCTCAGGTCCCTGGTCCCCACCACGTTTGGCCTTTTTTCTTAGGGTGTTTGTCAGTGGTGGTTGGCTATCGGCTTACTTTGCTTTGTTTTTAACATCACTTTTCTGTGTGTGAGGGCACACATTCAGCCCAGTGCGTGCGGAGGTTAGAGGACAACTCGGCAGGAGTGGGTCCCCGCCTTTCACCCATGGGTCGTCAGGCTTGGCTATGTTGTTAGCCCTTGGCCCTCTCTCCCCTCACTCTGGTATTCAGGGGTCAGGAAGTACCCTCTGTTCTTGTCCCCATGTCCCCACAGAGCCAGAGAGTTTCCCTCCTGGTGCTGGGAACCGTGATCCATCCCTTACACCCGCACCTGGCACACAGCAGGCGCTCAAGGCATGCAACCCAGGGTGCTCCAGGCAGGCACAAGCAGCTGAGTGGGTGCTGCCGCCTTGTTCCAGGGGAGAAACTGAGGCTCAGAGACAAGGGGGCAGGGCAGGCACCCTGGCTCTGAGGCATATACTTGAGTTGTTGTGCTGGGTCCCCCAGGATTGCTGCTCCCCCTCCAGGGTGGGTTTACTTCAGCAGCCGACCCCACTTGGCCCAGCCTTGCTGAGGACATTGAGTCCCTCATACCCGCTGTGTCCCTCGATGGGCGCTTTGACCCCAGGAAGCTGGGATCTGGGACCAAGGATGAATGGCGGTTTCCAGACCTCCTCCCCTGGGGTTCAGGTGATAATGGCAGGCTCAAGTGGCCCAGGAGAGACCCTGAAGCTCTCACACTGGCCAGCGGTCCCTGGAGGATCATTTGGCATCCCTGTGGCACAGCAGGTTTCACAGCCTCAGAGCAGAGAGCTTCAGGCCTAGAAACTTGGAGGCTCAGGAACTTTATTGCCTGTCTGCCTGTCCTGATGCAGATTCTCACTGTGTAGCTTGGCCTGGAACTCACTGAGATCCTTCCAGGATGACAGGCACAAGCTGCCACACGTGACCCCTGACTCGCTGGGATGGGGTGGGTGACAGGACCCCTCAGGGTGGTCTTGTGCTCCTGAACTATGTGCCCACTACTGGGGCCAGGGCGCTGGTCCCCATTCCTGGAGGCCCAGGCTGGGTGGCTGCGCTCCAGCCTTGGAGGAATGTGGTGTGTGGCTGGGCTCCAGGCCCCTCCTCCTCCTCCCAGCTCATCATCTCCAGCAAGCCTGGCAGCCTCCAGCAGCCCTGCTCCCCACACCCATCACTGGGGCCACCCAGTGCGTGCGCTACAGCCTCAGTTTCCCCCTGTGCAGTGAAGCTGCCTCCCTTGGTGGCTTTCTGTTTCGGGGCTCCTGAGGGCCTCAGCCTTGGCCCCGGCTGTGGCCAGTGGGGATGCTGTGACGGCTCTGCCAATCCCCTGAGCACACTGTGCACCCCACAGCCCCTCAGGGCTCCCCACAGGTAGTTTCTCTCAGGACCACTTCCTGTGTGCTGTCGCAGCCCCAGGGTGCCACTCTGGGCTGGGCCTCAGTGTCCTGGTGTGTTTGGTGGACACCCACTCGGGGGTGGGCAGGGGCTGGAGCTCGGAGCTGTGTGCCCAGCCCCACACTCCGCCCCAGCTCCATCGTTGCCTGAGCATCCTGGACAGGCCTTTCCCAGACACAGGGAACCAGGATACCCACGTGCAGCCAAGCAGCTGGGCCAGTGCAGCCCATCTGAGGTGTAAAGGCCACACCCCAGGGTCTTCAGGGAACTTGGGTCGCCACCACCCCTGCAGCGGGAGGAAGCCCCAGCTGAGCGGGCTCCTCGGGGACCAAAGAGCACAGATGCGGTGTCACCTTAGAGGCCAGGAACTCACCTGTCCAGGGTGCCGTCTGCGCTGTCCAAGGCCAGGCAGGGAGCTAAGTCCTTTGGGGAAACCAAGTCACGCTGGTTGAAGGCAGGCCCCAACAGAAGCCCTGGGATTGTGGGTGGATGGCGGAGTGCTGGGGACTCCCGGGAGGGGGCACAGGGCCTGGGGGATGGAGCAGTGAGGCCCCGCCCTGTCTCCATCTATCTTTCTGCCTGTCTCTCGGCAGCCCCGCCCCCCGTGCTGGCCTCGCCCCCTGTCCTGGGGCGGGAACCCGGCAGGGCACCAGGGTCGGTCGTTGAAAGGCCAGGAACTGAGGCCCAGGCCCGGTGTGGGACAAGCTGAGCAGCCAGATGGAGCCAGTCCTGGCGCAGCACTGCCTAACCCTCTAGGGGACTGGGGCGGCCAGCTCCAGCCTGACGGCAGGAGCCAGGGCGCTGGGGGAGGGGGTGCACGTGGTGAGGGAGGGATGCTACGGGGAAGGCCACTGTAGGAGCCCTGGGGTGCAGAGGCCGGGCGGGGCTGCCAGTCTTCTGCATTGTGGCTCGGGGAGGTGATCCTCCGCCCTGACGTGGACCAGGATGCCTGGCCTCGCTGTGACCCCGCCCCACCCGGCATCAACCGGACTTCCAGCAGGAGCCGGAAGCCCCCTTGTCTGTGCCCTGCCCCCAGCTTTCCTGAGGGGCCCTGCACCCTAACTTGCCTCTTCCCTGGTGAGGCGCCTCAGAGAGGCAGCCTTGGCTCCAAGGCCTGGTCTCTGGGCCAGGGCTGCCCTTGCCTATCCATTTCCCCAGGTTTCTGTGCTCAGGGCTGCTGAGTACATGTCCTCACCTGCCCAGCCTTAGGCTAGGAATCAACGCTGTGGGGAAAGGGCCTGAGGATTGGGGTTTGGGGGATGAACAGGCCTTCTGGTCGGGGCTACCAGCTGGCACGATTATGTCTGGTGGTGGGAAGAGGATGTGCTCGGGGATCTCACTGTGGATAGGGTGGGGGCGGGGAGGCCACTGACTCTTCCTCTCTCCTTTGGCCCGAGATAAGGACATGTCCGGCCTGGAGAACCAGGGAGTAGTCAAAGGACATTCAACTTTGTTGTCACTTCTACAATGGAGGGGACAGAGCTCAGCATGCATGGGGAAACTGAGGCAGAGATGGACTGTGATGTGGAGGCCACAGGGCCATCAGATATGGCCTGGGGCTACAACTGTGCGACCACTTTGGGTGCGCAGCTATGGCTCCCAACTTCATGCACTGTGCAAGGGCTGCGGGCGGCTGGGTGGGGCAGCAGTGAGGCTCAGGACGTACCCCCTGTGGCTGCGGCTTCCGCCGAGCCTGTGGTGCCTATTCTTAGCCCTGGACACAGCCAAAGGAAGGAAAAGGCTGGAGTGGGAGGTGGAGGCAGCTTTCCGGGACACCAGGGCACACGTGTGGACAGGGAGGGACCTGCATCCTTGCCACGCTCAGTCCAACTCAGCAGGACCTTCAGGGCCTGTCAGACGCCACAGGGCGGACAGGACGGAGTGATGACTTGGGCTGCTGCATGGCCTGCCTTGGCCTGCCCCATCCTCAGGCCCTGGTCAGAGGCTACTGGACTACGGGCTGGAGGAGACAGGGTGGCTGAGCCAGGATGCAGAGTGGCACCCTGGGTTTCCAATGCGTGTCAATCAGGACCTACCTTTGTGATGACAGCCACACTCCCCAGAAGGAGGTCTTGGGGTCAGGTAGGCGGGGCAGACCCCAGTCCTGATCCTGAGCCACTTGGGTGTGGTGTCTGCACCTATTCAGACCTGAAGCCATTCAAGAATAAGCTTTCTATTAAACGTATCAAAACCACATGGGCATCCGGGGCTCGACAAGTCCGGGGAAATGGCATTTCTGCCGCCTGGGGCAGTCTCCTCCGAGGAATAGCTCCGTTCCTCTCCGGATGGGAGGGGACCCGAAGGGCCGCAGCCACACGGCGCTGCTGACTGCGGCGCGCAGTCAGTCCCGGGGCTTGAGGGAGGCACCCGGGTCTCTTCGGCCCTCCCCCCCAGGGGCCGCCCAGGACTCAGGCTGGCGGGCGGCCGCAGGCGTCACCGGCGGTAGCGGTAGCGCTTGAAGTGGAACCAGAGCTGGAAGATGCCGTTGGCGAACTGGCAGCGGAAGCCATGGCGGTGTGAGTACTCCCACTCGCGGCTGACGATCTTGAAGGCGATGTCCTCGTAGGGCGGGCCGGCGTGGAAGCGCAGGATGGCGAAGTCTCGGTTGTCCGGGCAGGCCTCCAGGAAGTACTCGGGCGTGGCGCGCTTGCGGATGAGGTCGGGGTAGAAGATGTTGAACTTGTAGCCCTGCACGATCTTGGGCGGCGGGTTGTCGAAGTCGTAGTGTGTCTGGTTGTACTTGTTCCACTCGAAGCCCGTGTGCACACGGTTGAAGAAGCGCGGCTTGCGTGGCCGGTACTTGTCCGCCCAAAGGTAGGCGCGGCCGCTGAGCGGCATCTCCACGCTGAACTGCGCCTCGTCCTGCCCCATGCCCTCGCGAGCGCGCCGGAAGAAGATGTCCTCGGCGCTCTCGCTTGCGTCCCCTGTGAGGGCGGGGCAGAGTGTGAGCGGCGGCCGCCCGGGCCTCCTGCCCTGTTCCCCTTCTCCCCACCTCACGCCCCCCCCCCCCCGGCTGCGGGCGGCCCCACCTGTGGCCTGGAGCTGCTGGCGCGACAGCTGCAGGCGCTGCAGGTCCTCGTGCGGCTCCAGCACGTGCGCGTCCAGCGGCAGCTCGTGTGCCGTAAGCAGCCGGGGGCTGTAGCGGCCGGCGTCGTAGTCCGCCAGGCTCTGCTGGATCAGGTCCTCCTCCATCAGCACCGCCTCGCCATCCGCCTCAGGCTCGGCCTCCCCCTCCCCGGAGGGTGGAGGCTCCTGGGGGTCCGAGGGCTCCGCCGACGGCCCCGGGCTGGGGTCCTGATCCTCAGGCTTGGGGCTGCACGGGGCGGTGTTGGGAGCAGACGTGAGCCGCAGGCCGGCAGCTGAGGCCACCTGTGGGGTCCCTGGGCGGTCAGCCTTCTGCGGGCCCCTCACCTGTGGGCGGACGCAGGCTCCGACTTGAGGATGGGGAACAGCGGCTCGCTCTCCACACCTTGCTCCTGCTTCAGCTTGAACAGCTTCTGCCGGAGAACATCCTGGTGACGTTCACGGAGCCTGGGGACAGGAGGGCGCTCACCATCCCAGTCCCCAGCAGGACAATTCTCACAGTGTGGCCCCAACTTGACACAGTGCCTGGACCACTCAGACGGGCCGCCCGACCGCATGTTTACAGCGCGGTGCAAACATGCACGGAATCCACACAATCCTCTTGCCAGGATGGGAGGGGCAGCGGGAGACAGAGGGGACAGAGACAGCAAAGGCAGACTGGGAAGGAAGGAGAGGGCTGAGGGAGAGGGGCAGAGGGGGTCAGCAGGAGGACAGGCAGCCCAGTTTTTCAAGATGAGAGGCAGGGAACCCAGGGACCCCGCTGGGCAGGCGGTCCTGAGTCAGGTGCGGAGGCTCACCTGGCCCTGGCCATGTGCGCGCGCAGCTGCTGCAGCAGGCTCTCCCAGTAACCCATGTCGAGGTTGGGGCCGCCCGCGCGGATCTTGCCCTCAATGCCCTGGAAGATGACCTGCAGCTGGTTGTACGTCTTGCCCTTGAACACGGACTGCACATCGGAGCTGACCGAGGCGTTGACCCCCTCACGGCGCTCACCTGTAGGCGGGTGGCTCAGTGTGCACTGAGATTCCCTGCTCCCCTCCTCCACTGCGTGCTCCAGGCTGCTCTCCACCCCACTAAGGGACGGCGGTTATGGGCCTGCCGCCCTCCTGAAGCTGGCCCACCTGGCAGATGGTGGCCATGCAGCCAAGCCTCCAGGGAGCAGAGCGGCCCCTTTAGAGCGGGAGGCTCTACAGGCAGTGAGGGCAGCTGTTCCAGGGCTGCCGCCTTTCCCTGAGGCTCCTGAGACACATCCCACTGTCCAGCATTCTGTGTGGAAGCCTCCTCAGGGGCAGCCCTTGCCCCAACTGCTGTGCCCTCACAGGTGCCTCCCAGGAGCTGGGAAGATGCCCCATGCTGCTCACCTGGGCCTTTGCCGGAGGCCTCCAGCTTGCGGAGCTTGGCAATCTCGTCCTCCGTGATGGTCGTCATGTCCCGCCAGAAGTCCACGTTCTTGCCCTGTTCCAGCTCCATGTACACCTGGATGTCCTCCAGCAGGTCCTCCATGTCAGCCACCGTGAGGCCGTTGAGGAAGGTGTAGGGCTCGTGCATCTCGACGGCCAGGTCGTCGTCCTCGGCACTGATGTACTTGGCCAGCAGGTCAATGGGCTTAGCTCGCCCGTCTCGGATTCGGATCTTGGAGCTGCGGGAGGGGACAGGGTGGTGAGGTCAGAGCCAAAGTTCAATACGACCCCAGCTGACCCCAGGGCTCTGCATGGAACAGCTGGAAGGCTTGGGTTGAGCAGCGTGTCAGGCCCCAGGAACCTGGCCCTCACCAGGGTGGGACAGCCGGACCGTGCTGGTCCGCACAACATCTGTTTCAGTGAGGCCTCCAGCAGGCACACACCGGGCCCCGCCTCCCCATCACTGTCTTAAAAGCTGAGGGAGCTGCCTCGAGCCCACATGCCCTTCACGGCAGAGCCAGGGGAAGAGGGACTGTGGTTCTCAACAGAAGGTCAGGAGACACACCGAAGCTTGGCCTGTCGCAGGTGGAAGCTGTCCTCCTGCTCCTCCCAGGTCTTAAAGTGTTCGGCTTCCTTCTCCCGCTGCAGCAGCTCCAGCTCCTGCTCCCGCATGGCTTTCTCTCGCTCCCGCTCCAGCCGAAGCTGCTTCACCTGGGGCAGCAACACAGGGAGCCACAGTGGGGAGAGGGTCCGCATACCTGAGCCCCTCCCCTGCCCGCCACGCCTGAAGCCAGCCTACCTTCTGCAGCTCCAGCCGGTTGTCCTCCTGGATCCTCTTGTTGCGCTCCTTCAGCTCCTTCTCTTCCAGGTGGCTGATGCCTTTCTTCTCCAGCGCCTGCAGGAGCAGCCACTCCCTCAGCCCTGCGCCCACCCAGATCCCTGCGCCCTGCGGTGCTTGCAGAGGAGATGACAGAGCACCCAGAGGTGGCCATGCCTGCTCACAGGCCAGGAAAACAAGGCTTTAAGACAGGACCCAAGCCTGCCCAGGACTGCTATGATCCACGGTAGGAGGGGCTCCTGGGGGCGGCCTTCTCCCCCACAGTCCCTGAAGTCCTGCTCTAACCACCTGCCTCCAAAGTGCACACAGACGCAGAGTTACCCTGCAGGCGGCACAGGCCACCTCTCATGCCCTGCTGTCTCCAAGCCTGAGGAGGGTGGCTGCTGACAGCTGAGCCTGGAGCCTGCACAGGGGCAGGGACTGGAAAACACAGTGGAGGGGCACCAAC